CCCCAGCCCCAGCCCCATCCCCATTCCCATCCCCCACACCTTCCGCTGGCGAAGGAGTAGTTTCCGGGTGCGAAGAGCAACAAAATACAACGTCAACAAAGGACAAAGGCCCGCTGGTGGTGGCGACCGAGGACTGCGATGTGCAACAGAAGCCCGAACAGGAACAGGAGCAGGAGCAGTATCAACGTGGCTGATGGATCTGTGGCTGGGAGACTAGTAGTATTAACCTAAACTCTGCTCTGCTCTGGTCCCCTTCCCTCGAGTCTCGAGTCTTGACTCTTGACAGCATGGAAAACACTCGAGAACTCGCTGTGTACCTAGGTACCTAGAGGTTTACCAGCTTTTCATATTCATTCCTTAAATCTTCCGTCGGCAAGCATGCGATATCTTCTCCTGTCATGCTGAGATCGGGACTGGTGATGCGAAACGCTTTCTGGGGTAGATTCGTCCCCTAAATGCTGTGGCGGGAATCTGACAAGAAGCTTGGTCTTATCGGTGAGGTTTAAGTGCATCGCATCGCATCATGGATGGAGGATGACGAGCCTCGTGCTGCTGGTGGAAAGCGCACGATAAAAACGAATTGTATCCAGATGGATGGATGGTTTTATTGGGGATCGCATAGACCCTCTCGTGTGTGTCTGGCAACGCAAACATGGCGAGAATCTGAATATGTGCAATGACCTCACTCCGCGCCACATCAAATACTGGCCAAACACAACCCTCTGGGCCCAACACATCCAATCGATTCATGCCACCAGCTATCAGCCATCACAAAACCCTCGAGCAAGACCCTTAAAGGCAAAATGGATTCCACTTCCATTTCCAGTTCCCCAATTACCAAGACGACCTTATACCCTCCCAAGCGTCGTTGTTTATGCTTTACCCGACATAAACATTCAACTCCAAGAAATCAACAGAGCATTAAATAGCGTCATGGCGGATCCCTTCATCGGAATAGGCCTCAACCTGGCCGATACACTCATCGACAAGCACTTCGATAAAATCCCCGACAAACTCATGCCATTCAAAACCGACAAGCCGAAATCTCCAACAGAGAGTCCAGATGCCCGTCGTTCAAAAACAGGCAGGTCGACCCATCCACCAACCTCAAACTGGGATTTAGATATAGAAGACAAACCGGGTTCCGCAAGAGATACCCCCCCACGCTCCGGATATGCTTCGCCTCATCATCAACCTTCTCCGTATGGGATACCTCCACAATATAGTGGACAACCGTCACGTCAAAGACCGAGATACACTCCTCAACATGAACAGCACCGCTATTTGCCTTCACCACCCCAGCAATTCCAAGACCGAGGCCGGGATCGTTATCCATACGGCCATAATCAGAGCCCCTATCCGCGCAGACCAAACCCCGCCCTCCACCGGAGCAGCTCCTACGAAGTCCCACGCAGTCGAAATCTAGGTCGTCATAGCGACAAGTCTCCAACAAGCTCCTATCGCACCCACAGGCCAAAAGTCCTTTCCCGACGTAGCAATTCCTACCATGGTCGAGACCGCCTCGACCGTGTTGCAGAGGAGCACTCTAAGCGCGACAACCCTCCCAGGCGCGATAGGTCCCTTACCTCTTCAACAAGCCGAACCCATCGACACACGTCCAAAGATGGAGATGATAAAACACATGGTGAATATTTCACAAGCAGCAAAGCAGGTCTAGCTGGCAGTGCTTTGGGGGCCGCTTTGGGAGGCTGGGCTGTGCATAAGGCGCAGGGCCATGTCCAAAAGAATAAAAATACTGGAGAGGGGGATAGCAAAATGCCGGCGCTTTTAGGTGCTGCAGTCGGCGGATTGGCTGCGAATGCTGTTGTTGAACACTTAGAGCAGGGCACTGGAAGATTGGAAATTAAAGATGTACGTAATATCTAGGCGGGACAGTGCCGGATGTATGACTACTGGAGAGGAAGATGGAGTATTCAAATTTATGGGGCGGATCTGCGATGATATATGAGGGATGAGATACAAAGTACGAGATATGCCGTTCAAGAGCAGCTATGAGGCCATGAAATTACAAGAATTTATGAGGATTGGCATTTTTTGCACTAAGTGACCCCTAAGCCTTGAAATAGCTAGACAGATAATGAGACTCTTTGTCCACCTGCCCGATACCCTGCATTATATCAATATGCAACTCTTTTCCCTGCGCGAATTTATATTTCCGTTCTCAAGCTTATCCTCCACAGCCCCGGTCACCTCTCAAGTCTGAAGAGCTACACTTTCCCCATTCCATCTCCATCCCCTGCTACTTTACCCACGCGATCCTCAAACCCCTCCTCCAACCTCCAACCTTCTATATTCCTTTCCCCATCCTCAGTTTCCAACATATTCGTCAGCTCTTCCTGCGGCAAACTCTTCCCATCATATTCATGAAGCGCCAAATACATCGGGACCACCATCTGGGGATCTAAGAACTTCCCCGTAACCGATTCTTTTAATTTATATCTTCGAGTCCTAATATGCCCTGGGCAGTTGGCGAGGATCTGGTGCTGCTCATCATTATACGGGGCAGCGGCCTCGTTGTCTGCGCCTGGCGCGGAGCTATATGCTACTGAAATGAGAAGGCTGCCTAACTCTATATTGTTGATTTTATTAGCAGAGGTCAAGCCGGGAAACGGTCACCAAACTAGAAAAGGAGGTAACAGTTAGCAATTTCAGGGAACATACCGCTGGACCCGCCCTCTTTCCCAAACCCTTCCAACTCCTCATAATATCGAGTATCAAACTCCGCAACCTCAAAAGCCCCCCTACCACCGAAATACTTCTCGCTCCTTACTGAAATCTTCATATACTCCTCGCTACCCAGGAAATCCAAATCTTTCACAGGGTACAGAGCGAGATAGGGACGCAGGGCCGAAGGATCGATGGCCTTGTAGCGGTATGCGGAGGTGATACCCTTGGAAGCGAAGATATCAGGGATGTGCTCTTGTGTATACCATGTATCGAATGCAGAGGGCGTGAGAGTGGGGGAGGTAACTCGGGAGTTTACGTAGAGGAGGCCTGGGGTGGGCATTCTGGGGAAGGACGAGGGGTGATCGGCTTGATGGAATCAGTTGGCGGATGGGCTGGGTTTGTGAGGGAGATGGTAATTTTACTGATTTAGGATTTATTTGAATTTGAATTTGGATTGAAAATAGGCTTGAGATACGTTTTCAACCGTCATACTGTTCAAAAATGAAGTTATTCCTCAAGTTCATCCTCGTGGTGCTCGTTCGATAAGCCGGACCTCCTGTGGCGGATTGCGATAAGCAAGATAAGAATATGCGGGGTATGGCGGGGTAGCTTTGCGAATATAACCACGGGGAGAATTTTATTTGGTATGTATATAATATGGCAATGAAACAGAAGGTAAATATTTACCTTCTGAATGATATGTTAAATAAGATTAAAGGGGGATATGCGATCAGAATTATTACTGGAGTGGTGAGGAATATTGGGGTGGAAACTCGGCTATTTCTGCTCAAAAAGGGGGGCTTGCTAGATAGCACCAGCCCCAATCCCTAATGCCCGCTGCTATAGCGATTTTCCTTTTCGGCGGAAACAAATGGATGCCACCTCCACTAGTGATTTACTAATTTGTACTTGAAGTGTATTTAAATCGTAGCTGACCATAAATGCAAACTACCAACCAACAGACGCCTCTAGTATCGTCATCTACCTAGGTAGGTTAACGAGACCTGCGAGTGGGGTAGACCGTACTCGGCCCCGGAATCAAGATAGCGACGAAGTGCCTGGATGGAGCCGCTAAAATCCTCAATCAAGCCGAATCTTACTCTTGGCATTTCAACAGTTGCAAATCCTGTTTAGGACTTGTTTTGGTGGGCAACTATTCCGAGTCTACAACGATCCAGATTCGAGCAGGTCAAGGGTTTTGGGGTCTATGCAGGGTGGTTCCGCGCCGCCACGGAAGGATTCAAAGTCTCTACCTACACCAGCCAGCATCCTATATCCATGAAAAGTGTGCAACTGCCGCGCCGCAAACGAAACCAGAACAGCTGTTGCACGTTATATATCTAATTTGAGGCATCCCAGGAGCCACTTTGTTTTGCATAGGAGGATTCGAAGAAAATTACCACTTTCCGCAGGTTTCAGACAAGGCCACGTTGGGGTGGATTCATGGAGCGATATATTACTGGTTGAGACCCGGCCATTAAATTTGGGGGCTTGTTGGTGCTGTGTGGCGGGGTTAATATAATAGTCTCTCGAATCTACAAACTAGATAACTTATTTCATTAATTCTTGAAAAGTTGAAAGATTTATAAACTGCGGTGGCACAGATCTGGGTGCATGCTTTGAGGGTGCACATCTTTCAATTAACCCATGTAAGTGGTTCAGCTTTTGAAGGCTCCCAAAGCCGGAATCCCACACATTTTGTGCAACGTGCCAGGCCTGGACATGAAGAGTTGTTTTGAATTTCGGGCCGTAGTTACCACCGGTTATAAGATGGAAAAATTTGACCACGCCATAGCCTCTGAGTTTTGCATGGCACATAGGCCATTTTCACTTCAAATCGTTAATCATCTTGGGAAGTAGGAATATATAATACCCAGAGGCTGCCTCGCTGGGCACCTGATAAATAATAATACACAACGCCAAGAACTCTCCGAATTTATAGTCTTGAAACTGTAACCTTATGTTCATGAGTTCCATCCCATGGCCTGTCTTGGTGGTTTAAACCAAATATTCTGGCGGTAGAAACCTCGGGCTGCTGCTGTGACTCGGTTTTAACATGAACGGTCCGTAGTATTTGTGTCCCCCGAGGTATGATAGGTACTTCAATTTCTCTCGTGGCTGTTGTATTATGTTTTCTCAACGACGGATTTTCGTAATTATCGACCAAGCGATCAAAGCCATCTAGTCGAGCCTTGTCGTGAGGAGATTGTCGACCTCCTCCTCCGTGGCTACTAGCCGTCGTGCCAACACGAGAGAAGATGGATCCTGCGGTAACTGTCTTGAAGAGTTCGGGGATGGTGGGTAGGCAGATAACAACGATACCAAGGCCGAGTTCGGGGAACACGAAAGATCCCATCAAACTGACGTACCAGGTAACATCGTCGTTGTCGGCGAGCTTGACTGAGTAGTAGAGTCGCATAATTGCAGAGATGCATGCCCTATATGATATATGATATATTAGTTTTAGAATAGTATAAATCTATATCCTTTTACTTACAGCAACGCTACTAAAAATATGAAGGAGACACCGAGTCGCTTCTTAAAGCTCATTTGGAATTTCCAGATAAGCGGCTGTGGCAGGAGGAAGATGGCAAAATCCGAAGCCGAACTGAATGCAGCGGAGATGGTATTGAGGGTTGGATAATCCAGGCAGGTGCCGATAATCAAAGGGTTCCATGCTTTTGCTATTGGCCTACAAGAGAATATTTCCAGGAAGAGACAGACGGTATAAAAGGTAAAGTTCAAGAAGATTAACGCATTACAGGTCCAGAAGAACAAGCCCCTCTGTTTCGAGGAGAAGATGCGGATGTACTGTAGTAAAATAGACAGCTTGATGATAAAACAGATGGCTCCATATATCATGGTGCCAATATGAATGTGCTAACATAAAGTCAACAGGTACCTCGGGTCTTAGCACTATATAATACTTACATACATCCAGTGCTTCATATCTTTAAATTTGACATCCCACTGGTGCCTACCAACTGGGTATCCGCACATGATCGCTATGGCAACGTATGCGACGTAAAGGGCCTACGAAAATAAGCCAACTGGTACAAGCGATGCAACTATTGGAAAGGGTACACACCCAAGCCAGAATAGCAAGGTCTATCAGATATTAGTAAATATTTAGATCATATTCTTTAGACCGCAGTAAAAAATACAGCTACGAGAATAATCATACTTACAATCTTCTGGCCCCCGTTTCCGAATAATTTGGAGCTTTGTATATACATGCATCATAATCGCCGAGTTGGAAGGATCAAAAATATAATTTCGTCCACAAGTACCGCAGTTCCGAAGGCATAAGGGTTATCGAAGTTAGGTTCAACACCTAGTGGGGGAGATAGAGCAGGTCCCTCCAGAAGAACCTGCAACTGGGCGGGCGTCAAGCCAGTAGGCACGGCCATATTGGTGCTAGGATATGAACAGTAAAGCAATTAAGTATACTGAAAGATACCAAAGAAGCCCTTTTCCAAAGACTTAGAGGCTAAGTCTTGGTTTGGGGGAATAGTATGTAATCAACTGCGGAACTGCCACGAGCCGCTCATGGTGGGTAGAAACCTTGGGCAGAAATTCTTGAAGTAAAGTAAGAACGGGCAAAAAAAATGGACCTGCAGCAAGCGATATGGTAATTCGAGCTTCTCATGATGGATGCTGAAATGCGGTGCCTGAGCTGGGGCTACCAATATGAGTGCTGTAGGATAAGCAATATGAGAACGTAGTAGATAGTGTTAGCATTGGCGCACCCAGGCTAGGCAACATCATGATGAGAGAACGCTAATGGTTCGTGGTTCATGTTTTGCTCTTGGTTTTATCTGATTGTTTGACTCAAGATAATCAAATCCAAACTCAAAATCCAACTATTGAAGATAAAATCGAATTTGCGGCGGGCAAACAAACTTTATGATCAGAGAGTTGCTTTATTGTTGAGTATGCAACTCTAGATCGAAAAACAATTGACCTACCTAACCGGCGGGTATACTACCGTGACTGCATATTCCTTCAATCCATCTGATTTCAAGTTTCCTAGACTGGCAAGTGGCTTGAATCCTTCCCCTCGGAACGGGCTCCGGATCATCTAGGTACATGAACATATTGGAGTTTCACCGGTTTGTGGAGTGTTCATGGGGCATTTTCGGTTGACACAGCCCTCGGACACCGTGGCAAACGTGGTGGCAAGGGGCTGACGGAATGATATACATACATTAATTAACCACAGCCCTACAACGGGAGCTAATGTGCAAAGATAAACGTTGATTCCCTAGATGGGTAGGGCAAGGGAGTCCGGAAAAAGCTTACGTGCCTCTGGCGGAGGACTTCTCAGCCCTTATATGACTTGCTTCGCACCACAAAAGGATGTGCCGTAGCTGCGCATCTCGTAAAGGCATGACACCGGGTACTGTAGAGGGCTATTCTTTTTTGTTGTCTATTTTCCGGCCCCTTTACTTCGCAATGCGCAAGGCGATAATTATAAACAGGGTGCCCGAAGAGAGTAGCTTCTCGCCGGTTTGGTAGTTCTTGGTGCGGCAAGATGAGTTCGTTTGGTGTAGAGCCAACCGAAGCCAAGCGCACCATGCAAAAGCCGCGAGCGTTTTATGTCTAACTACTACAAACAACGACCTGCCAACTACTTACCTACAACTCTCCACGCGGTGACTGACGCTGCTCTGCCTCAATCTCTCATTTAATAAGGTGCAATCGAGATATACTCGAGTAGTGTTTAAACACTCCCAACTACCCAACATGCATGAACCAGCTATGGTCAAGGACCTAGACGGTTATCTAGATGTTCTCGCACAATTGCCATTACTCAATATATATACTCAGATATCATTATGCTTTTTAGTGCCTGATGCTTCCTCACATGCTGCAATCATCGAGACGTTGACGAGTGGCCTCGAACGACTGTCTGCTAGCTTTCCATGGCTAGCAGGCCAGGTCGTCAATGAAGGTTCAGGTGAAGGCAATTCAGGCACCTTCAAGATCAAGACATTAGGGGAAGTTCCTCCTCTGGTCGTAAAAGACCTCAGACATGACCCGTCAATGCCAACAATGGACGCCCTCAGACAAGCCAACTTCCCCTTCAGAATGCTAGATGAAAACATCATCGCACCTCGCAATACTCTCCGGGGAAGTCCCAACGAATCCGCACCAGATCCTAAACCAGTCTTCCTCCTCCAAGCCAATTTCATTACCGGCGGCCTCTTGGTCACCTTCGTTGGCCAGCACAACGCCATGGACATGACTGGCCAAGGCCAGATTATCCATCTCTTCTCAAAAGCTTGCCGCAATGAACCATTTACAAGCGAAGAACTATCATCCGGCAACCTCGACCGCCGCAGTCTCATCCGATTACTTGACGACTCGTACAAACCAGGCTCCGAGCTAGCTCTTCAGATTGTGAAACCGGCTTCAGTTCATCCCATCTCCAACGATACCAGTAGCCAACCAGCAGCACCACCTCCCCCTCCAAAATGCACCTGGACCTACATCACATTCCCCCCTGACTCACTTGCCGCTTTAAAATCACTTGCCACCAAAACCATCACCCTTCCCTCAGGCTACATCTCCACCGACGACGCCCTCAGCGCCTTTATCTGGCAATCCGTCATCCGTGCCCGCCTCCCACGCCTAGGCCCCATAGCTGAATCAACACTCGCTCGCGCTATCAATGTACGGAGTTATTTTGGTGTTCCAGAGACGTACGCGGGACTTATGCAAAATATGACGTACCATACATCTACGCTTCAAAACCTGGCTGAAGAGCCGTTGGGAAGTGTTGCATCACAGCTTCGTTCCGCTTTAGACTCAAAAACATCAAACCTAGGTCACCACACCCGTTCTCTCGCAACCTTCCTCGACCGCACACCGGACAAAAGTACTATCTCCTTTGCAGCGACGCTTGACCTATCAGCGGACCTCATGCTCAGTTCGTGGGCGAAGTTAAACTGTTATGAGCTTGATTTCAACCTTGGATTGGGAAAACCCGAGTCTGTTCGTAGACCACAGTTTAACGCATTTGAGAGTTTGGTATATTTGATGCCTAAGGCGCTAGACGGCGAGATTGCTGTTGCGATTTGTTTGAGGGATGGAGATATGGCGAGATTAAGGGCAGATAAGGAGTTTTCAAAGTATGGGAAATATATCGAGTAATAAATAGCCTATGAGGATACTGAGAGGCGAAACAGGCTGTGGTAATGCATACTTGTGATGGCAATGACGGGGATTTTCTCAAATTCCAACTGCCGCTTATAATAGACGACTCTATATTACTCAAGGAATTAAGCTTAATAAGGAGCAGACAAGGTCTCTCTCAACCTGTATCGCGGTCAATGACCACGGCGTATGGCCAGCCATTGCAGACTTATCTCAAGGGCAACGATGTTATCAAGTTTCCGTTCGTCCGCCTCTTGCCCTCCTACATAGAGCCAGCCAAGCCTTAGATCGGCTATCAATATCGCCATTGTAATGACAGAGATAAGCTGTTATCAGCTATATAAGTTGCTGTCAGCGTGCATAAAATATGCCATCTCATCCAATATGCCATCTCAGTACTAGCTATAAATGTTATTAGTTATTAAATATAAAGATATTGAGAAGGCTATAGACACTTGGATGGCTGATCAAAAGCTCTCCAAGTCCTCAAAAGTGAACTTTTTCGGCGTTCTGCTTGAAACACTACTGTTTTTTTATCAGATATATAAGTTTAGAGAGGAATGGCTGGTATAGTCTCCTATAGCTAATGTATTAATCCTTGGTAAACCCCAGACTAACAAGGGAGGTGCACGGCTTTCTACAAAGCGCAATTCGAATAACAAAACAGAGTGAGGTGTTGTGAGGAACTAACTACCTCCGAATCGTATTCCCCATCCTTGCAAGTAGATGTATATCCTCATATTACACTATATAGACCATCTTCATCCGTAACCCATTCATTCGTAGTTACTAAAACCCAAACGCTTTGATGCTATATATACAATGCTATCGATGCCCCGTCAACAACAACCATACATCAACCCCGCCTGAAACATCATCATAAGTTCCCCATTCCTTTATATCACGCCTCACCACTTATCCCAATTATCCTCATCCTTCTTGGCTGCACCACCCATCAAGCCCGCAGACGAGCCGCCCTTCTTGACCGCACTCGTACCAATTGCACTTGGTTTGCTATTCCCCGCCTCCGCAAAACTATCCCAGAAATCCTTCTTGCTTTCATCAATAGGTGCCTGTCTGTATGCACCACCCGACGAACCATTACCTTCCACAAAGCGATTAAAGCCATCAGCTGCGTTCTTGGCGCCCGTTTGTGCGCCTCTAGCTACTTGCCCGGCGGTGACGCGTGCTTGGGCTGCTAAATCGGTTTCCGCAATCTATGGCTTCTTAGTTTCTAAACTTCCAAATGCGAATATGGCGAAGATCTGGGGGAGACGAACCTTTGCAGCAGTAGGCTGGATATATCCCTCATTAACCGTCTTCGCCGTCTTCCCCACCGTACTGGTAAACCATCCAAAGCCCTTCGTCAGCGCCGCGACAGGATCCTTCTGCAAATCGTCAAAGCCAGGTAACTTGGGGTCACCTCTCGCAGGTTCTGGCGGGGCGCTTCCGAAGCCACCGTACTTGCCTCCCTGGCTGGGCGGTAAATCATGCGGCCGGCTCGCATTTGCTGCTCCGAGGCCCGCAAAGTATTTATCGTCGACTTTGGCTTTGCCTCCGGGCCGGCTGGGGCTGTCTGTTCGTGATGAGCCGAGGGGGGTTTGGCTTCTGCTGTTGGTGGAGCTGTTCCCGAACGACATAGATGTGGCGGCTGGTTTGACGGAGGGGACGTATTCTTTGCCTTCTACTTTGGCTGATAGTCTTTCTTTCCATTCCTCGCCCACTTCGCCGGAATATCGTTCTGCAATCGTTGCGTCGTCCCAACTGTAATTCATCGCGCCGTCAGCATGCCATTCCATTCAGCTCCTTTCCACCCAAATTCGCCCCAGGCGTCCCAGTAAAATAGACGCGGAAGAGAAATAACCAAACTGACGTTATGCCCGCAAATTTATTCGCCTCAGCATCATCAAAGAAGTCCCTCCAAGGCCTATTCCCACCCAGGCGCATCCGCTCAATCTCCTGAGCCTTAAACGCATCCATCGTAATACTCCTCACAAAACTAATATGCACACCGAGCCCGCGATGCACGCCGGCGCAAGAAAGGCAGATAAATATTCCGAATTTAGGGGACGCCCATTGCGGGGAGGGCGCCCCGCAATCGCAGCAGCGGTCGTTGGACGAGGTTTTTTGGATCTCTAGGAGCTGGAGGATTGGGTCAGCGGAAGCGCATGAGTGCGTAAAGAAAGAATTGGAACACGAGAGACAGAGAGAACAGAACGCAAGGTCTCGAATCAAGGGGTGAATGGCAGACCTTCGACCTCGTGTCCGGATCCACCTCCCACATCGCTTTGGTGGCCATCTTGTGGCCGAGAAGAAGGGATTGACGCGGGCACAATGGCTCTGTTTGTACTATAATGCAGCAAATTAAGGGAGGGTAAATTGCTTAAAGCAGACGAAGAAGTCAAGGTGTTGTTGTGGGTGTTCCAAGATTTAGATGGGGCCAGGTTTTGGGCAGCGATTTACGAAGTATCCAAGTACCTCCACAAAAAGGAGGTTTGGGGGTTCCTGGTCTCGGAGACGTGCGCCCGTTGCCGTCGCCTCGAGGCAACCAGTCGCAAGGCTACGATTTAGTCTCGCCTTGTCGAGTCGCAATGTTCCAGGGGCATTAATTATATATTATTGTGGCTGTAGAAGTTGTCGATCGTCACGCATTACGGTCTCACAATAAGCTTTATAGAGCTGCCTCTTTATTAAAATTAAGATTTGCCATTTTTATCAATGATGCGTGGTATCCCTAATGAGTAACTTTTCCATTCCTTTGCCCTCCCGAGAGAACACGTCGAGAAATCTAGTGTACAGCCCTGAGAATGCCGAGAAATGGTAATAAAACATCGTTGTTTGAGAGAAGTCATCGAGAACTTTGAGCCCTATACCAGGAGAAAAGCACAGACGTTATGAACTGAGCTTGGGAGCACATTTCACCATTGCCCGACGCAATTCCACTTTCATAGAACACCCAGTTCCCCTAAAAGAAAGTCATAAGCAAGTTGGCCAGTTTCAGCGACGGATTAAGGGAGCCAATCCCCCAATCCGGAAGTGCATGCATAGCGCGAGGACAATGGTCCAAAAGCAACGTTAAAATAATGCATCTGTCATTGTCTGTGAAAGCTGCACCTCATCGCACAAAGTAATACAACTACTACCGCTTATGCAGCAGCAGTAGGAGTGGCCTCAGCAGTGCCATTGGCGTCCTCAACGGCAGCCTCGGCAGCGGGAGCATTAGCATCCTCGTCGGTCTTGTCTGGGCTGTCGATGGCGACCTTGACCGCAATCTCGCGGCCCTCAATCTCCTTTCCGTTCATCTCGTTAACAGCCTTCTGCTGCATTTCCTCAGATACAAGTGTGACGAAGCCGAAACCACGGCCCTTGCGGGGCTCATTTCGGGCTTGGAGCTTCTTGACCATGAAGCGAGGGATGGGGCGGAGAGCGATTTTGGCGGAGGATGGCTCATAAGCGGTGAAGAGTTCCTTGAGCTGTAGGGGCAAACGTGTTAGTTTAGAACATAGAGTAAAACTAGGATAATCTTACCTTCTCCTCAGAGAGATCATAAGGAAGGTTTGCGACCATGACCTTGGTCTTGGATGGAATGCCATCGGCAGGTGGGCCGCGCTCACGACGCTCGCGTGGCTGGCGGTTTGCCTGAGATTTGTTGTCCTTGTCATTCTTGTCTGCTTGCTCGGCACCTTCGCCGGCCTCCTTGTTCTCACCCTCGGTCAAGGGAAGAACGTCGGCGGCCGGAACTTCAGCGCCCTCTTCGCCCTTGGACTAAATAAAAGTAAGCAGGTGCATGTCGGAGTCAGAAAACATGCCAACTTACACCACGGGCAGCACGTCCGCCTCTGCCACCACGGCCGCGGCCACGTCCACGGCCTCGGCCGGATTGTCTGCGACGGCCACCTTCACCTCCAGAGACACCCTCTCCTCCGCTCGCAGCACCCTCACCCTTCTCACCAGCTGGCTCCGGCTTGCGAGCAAGTTGGACCGAGACCTTGCGGTCGAGGATCTCCTTGCCAGAAAGCTCAGCGATGGCACGCTCGGCTTCGCTTGGGGTCGAGAGGTCGACGAAAGCGTACCCGACGGGACGGTCTGTGCGTGGGTTCTTGGGGATGGAGGTAGACTCGCTAGAAAGATCAAAAGTTAGCACCCTGAAGCCTAGAGTTTGCTAACCAGCTCTATCAACATGCTTCCAGGCACAGATTGAGCTGTCTTCAAGTGGGGCGCAGAGTGGAGCGGTCGATATCCACAGCGCCCTGGTGGCCGCATGCCGTTGGAGCAACAGCCACCGGCGATAGAGACGGAGGGCAAAGATGGAGAGGAGCAGCTTACATGAGGTATCCCTTGAAGAAACTTGTCAACTCCCCCTCGGTGGTCGCGTAGGCGAGGTTCCCGATATAGAGTCTACGACCCTCTGCGGCGCTGGCTAACACAGCATCGTTATGGGCGGCGCTGGCAGCCTTGTCACCATTGGTATTGGTGTCGGCGGGCTTCTCAGAGAGGGTTGCGTTGCCAAGAGCGGCAGTAACGTCGTTGACGGCATCAGAAACTTTCTCCACGGCAGCAGACATGATTGATATGTTGGAGAGAGCGGGTTTGGCTGTGATAAGTTGAGGACGCGTGGATTGTCGACGTTTCGCTGAGTGTATTTGACTCTTGCGCAAATGGGGGAGAGTATAAGGGTAGCTTGGGGCCCTAGGGGTCTGGATTGATTGCTTGCGGGTGGGAAGTTGATGGACTTGATCGTATCTTGTTGTGATGTGAGTCGAGAGGAAGGGAGAAGGGAGAAGGAGAGCGAAGCTGCGCGTGCGAAATATATCAAATTCCGCTACGACAGGCAGGCGCACCCTTTTCGCCGCTAAGCGAGATGGCTCTTACGGGATGGGGGCTAGCGCGGCGGCGAGGCCAGACGGAGGCGAATTCGGGGGTTTAGGGGGGATTGTCTTCGAAGAGCTTCGATGGGACCAAGTGCCACATAGTGCAACAAGAGGTGCTACGGTGCTGCGATACTGCGAATTACCATGGAGTCTGGGTCAAGAGGAAAGGGGGGAAAGAGAAAAGGGGGAAATGGGGGACAAAGGAGATGAGGCTCGGGGGGCCAAGGCTTGGGTTGAATCAGCGCCCTTTGTTCCCTTGAATCAGTCTTCCACGGGAGGCAGTTGGACCGAGATTCATCTTTGGTTGTGTTTCTTCTTCTTCTTCGTCTGCTTCTGCTTCTTTCTGGGGGCCGTCGGACTATATGGTCTATGAACGCAGTTGTCGAGGAGGAAAGCCGCAGTGTTAAAGGCATCTTTACCCGCGTTGCATTGGCTTTGTTTCGAAACCTGACATGGCTGCGCTGGTTCACCTTGACGGGCATCGAGAGGCCATTCGCCGCGCAAGGCTGTGTCCGCCTTGTGCAGCTTGGATTTTTTTATTGACAATGACCCATAATTGCCTTCAGGGGCAACCAAGTATGCACCGACGAAGAATAGGGGCTGGGCTCGGCAAGGGGCAAAATTTTGCCTATACCAAGGGTAATATAATAGCAGAGCATAGCTAGACGATAATACGATTAATAACTAACGACACAGTCATACGATGTGCAGGTACCTAGGCACTGTATACTTCGTCCAGAGTACTCTAAGTCAGGTCTAATAATAATACCAGCCCTACGAAGTACTCTCGTACCATCATACGTACATGTACAGTACAAACACAAGGTATACATGTACATACATGTAGGTACCCGCAATAATAATAATCAAGAATAATACAATACAATACAAATTCACGGAAGCTATAGTAGCAGCCACCCCATCTCCGTGCTCGGCTAGGCTGGGATCCAGGTTACGAAGATGTGAAGCCGCCCGTCCAACTCCACTTTCTTATTATTAGCCTTATAGGCTCTTAGGACATACGTAGTTGAGCAAACGAAAAAAACCCCACAAAGACCTCGAAGACGAAACGAAACATAACGTAGCGGTTACGAATTCGCCGCTTTGCCCTAGTCTCGTGACCAGCGATTGGGTACAAGTAGATATCGGCGATAACACTTGACAACCCAAGACAACAAGGATCTCGGTCCCTCAAACTCAAACCTCAAACCCCCGGATGTCCTTGGACTCAACATGGCGGAGGATATCCACGCCAGAACAGCTCTTATCCTCTATGGATCCGAGACGGGAAACAGTCAGGACGTCGCCGGCGAGCTGGGCCGGATGGCGGAGAGATTGCACTTCGTAGCCAGGGTCAGCGAGATGGATGCTGTCGACCTTGTATGTCCACGATCTCCTTGATATTGATACCTTGATGCCCCTCGACTTCGTGACTTCTTTTCGCCTGTGCTCATCCAGGTGCAACAGAATGTGCTAGTGAAACACCGCGTGGTTATCTTCGCACTCTCGACCACGGGCCAAGGCGAATTCCCTAAAAATGCCCGGAAATTCTGGAAAAGTCTGCTCAGGAAGCGCCTTCCTCCAGGCTGTCTCGGTCACGTGCGCTTCACGACCTTTGGTCTCGGAGACAGCTCCTATCCGAAGTACGTAGAGTAGAAATTGCGCAGTTTTGTGTTGCGCTGCGTTGTGTTGCGCAGCATGGCGTAGTTGGCTGGGCTGTGAGACGCCGCCGTTCGGGATATCCGCTGATATATAGACCAGATATAACTGGGCTGCTCGGAAGCTTCATAAACGTCTGGAGCAGCTTGGAGCACAGGAGATCTATCCGCGTGGCGAGGCAGACGAGCAGCATGAAGAAGGGTACGTATTCTTTGCCATCCTCGTCCTTTGTTGCGCTCAAGCATGTTACCATCAGGAGAGCTCTATATGAGAGAAGACATAATGGGCCGTATATAAAGGTTCACGGCTGACCTGTCGCAGAATCGATGGAACCTTCTTGTCTTGGAAGGCTGACTTCCACAAACACCTGCTATCTTTATATCCATTGCCAGAGGGTGTAGAGCCCATTCCGCCGGAAGTGCTCCTGCCGCCTAAGTATACACTCCAACTCGTGGAAGGCTCGCCAGATTTCGATTCACTGGCCCTGGTAGAATCCGACCAAGAAACCGGCAAAAGCACGACGGCAGCGATGGCGGCGAAGTCGACGCAGGAACTTGGTATTTCTGTCGGCCAGGTGGGAGAGCTGGCTGCTTCCTCCACTTCCATCTCTCCATCCATCCACAACGAAAATTTATCAGACTCAACTGCGAACCCCGAGATCACGCTCAACATGGCGAACGTTCCACCTGTTGAATTCAGCATGCAGGCCGACCTGGCTGGTGAGGCCAAACCGCCCCCGCCGTTGAAGGAAGAGATCCCGCGCGATCTGGAACCAAGTGACGCGAATTCGCAGCTGCCGGATGACTATGTTCTTCCTATTCCGGATTCATTTCTTGCCAAGTTGGTTGGGAATAAACGCATCACGCCTGAGAGTCACTGGCAAGATGTCCGTGAACTTACAATTTCCATACCCAATGATACCAGCTACGATCCGGGCGATGTCCTGACTCTGTATCCCAAGAACTTCCCCGAAGATGTGCAGACCCTGATCGACCTCATGGATTGGAACGATGTTGCGGATATGCAGGTTACTTTTGAACCAGTACATCCCAAGTACTACGCTGCAGAGGACCTGACCAGCCTGGCTCCTGGCCTCCATCCCCTCGATCAAACGACGCTGAGAGAACTCTTACTTCACAACCTGGATATCACCGCTATTCCCAAGCGCTACTTCTTTGAACTCATCGCCCATCACACTGACGATCCGATGCACAAGGAACGACTGCAGGAATTCGCCAACCCGATCTTCATCGACGAGTTTTTTGATTACGCTACTCGCCCACGGCGAAGCATTCTCGAAGTGCTACAAGAGTTCAATACTGTTAAGCTGCCATGGAAATGGGCAACATCCATCTTCCCTGTAATTCGAGGCCGCCAATATAGTATCTCAAGCGGTGGGGCCCTCAAACGCCATTCGAAGTCAGGCGATACCAAAATGCAACTCCTCGTCGCCATTGTCAAATATCGCACTGTACTGAAGAAGGTCCGCCAAGGCCTCTGCTCTAGATACATCGCCTCCTTGCCGATAGGTACAACATTCACAGTATCTCTCACCTCGGGCACATTCAGCAATATTGTCAAGTACCATCCCCGTCTCCCTGTACTCCTCGTCGGCCCCGGAACGGGAGTTGCGCCTCTCCGATCGCTGATCTGGGAGCGGGCTGCTCTTAAGCAACTCAATAGCCGACGACCTGGTCAAAATATCAACGTTGGCGAAACACTCCTCTTTTATGGCGGTCGCAACCGAAATGCAGACTACTTCTATCACGACGAGTGGAATTCGATGGCCGATTCTCTGGGGCTCAAAGTCTTCACGGCATTCTCGCGGGACCAGAAGGAGAAGATCTACGTGCAGGATATTATTCGGAAGGAGAAGAAGGCAGTGTGGGATGTGATTGAGTGCAAGGCCGTAATCTTTGTCTGCGGTAGTTCGGGGAGTATGCCGAAGGCGGTCCGGGAGGCGATCATTGATGTTATGGCGGAGATGGGGCCTTTTGTGGATAGAGACGAGGCGGTTGAGCAGCTGAGGCTGATGGAGCTGAAGGGGTTTTATGTGCAGGAGACGTGGTGAGGTTGGGGAGATTATAGATGGATTTGGGCATTGCTATGGAGCTATGGATGAACGAAATGAAACGTTATGGGAGACATGGCATAGATAGTTATAGAAGGAGCTTCACGGCAACAATATTAGATGGTATTTCATTTTTCCTGGTCTATCTTGTCTTCCGCAGTGCTCGGCTTCTGAAACGACGACCGTGACTTGGCTTTTGGCTTTGAGCTGCCCGTCGAAGATCTACCGAGCTACCTCGGAGTCTAAGCTAAGTCGCCATAGGGTTTTCTTTTGTGATACTGTATGGGGATGGGGGGGAAATGCGGTTCTGGAATAAAGGGGTAGATAAGAGGTTGAGCAGGGAGAATGGTGTGCCTGATACGACCCAACTCTCGCGCATAATGTCGTGTGTAGCTGATTGATCAGGGGGGTTACTTAGAAAATATTCAAGGTACTGATTTATTCAATTTGTATCTCGAGCTCCACCGCAGGTAAGCCATCCTTCCCATCCGGGGTAGGCTATACTAATCCGTACAATATACTCCTATCGCATCCGAAACACCGTCGAAAACAAAGACACTCTAGCCATCCTTCCCTATTCTATACTGTACAGGGTAGGCTAATACCTAGGGAAGCGAGGCAATGTAACAAAAATACAATCAAAAAGGTAATAAGCCATCCTTCCCGTTGCCAGGGTAAGCTATACCGTGTATGGATGCACCGATCCAACTGCGCCATAAAACACTATAATAGCAACAAACTAAGAGAATGACCGTACCATCAAGGCAGCTTCAATCCATCCATAGCAGTTACATTAGCATCGAATTAGACGAGCTCAAAATCATCATCCCCATCAACGACAACCTTTGACTTATCCTTCACAGCATTCTGTCTGGGACTCCCCTTCTTCCGACCCTTAACAACCTCACCCTGCTCATCCAAAACTTCGTATTCGCCCTTGACAATCCGCTCTGTCTGCTCGCTGATCCATTTCTTCTCCGCCTTTTCGACAAGGCCGCCGAGAGCGACCGAGCTTGCCTTCCCCAATGGACTTGGGCCCGTGTTGTCGAAGCTGTAGAGGAAACCTTCGTCAACCCTGGTACGGATTGGAGGGCTTTTATTGTTCGTGTGGTGTGGGGCTAGTTCGAGGAGGGACTTGGAGAGGGAAGAGGTATGGATGTTGGGGTCAGTGACGGCGTCGACTTTGCGGTGGATGCGGGACTTGGTGTCGTGAGGTTGATAACCCCAGTCCATTGACTGGAATGATGGCTTTGACTTTTTGTATGCAGCTGCTGGCCTGTCGTAGTCTGGGCTGTAAAATGACCTCTTGTTAGTTTGATAGGAGAGAAAGGGGAGGTTGAGGGACACGTACAGCTGTGACGATTGCTTCTGGGGACGAAGCTTCCCTGGCTGGGATCTCTTGTCCGAAACTTCAACAAAGTTCAGGTGGATATCCTTGGGACGGCCACCATGGCTCCATTTCTCGACGCGATCCTTGTTCCGCTTGAACGGGCGGGATGCTGAGCGTATATCGCCGTGTTCCATAGGAGATGTTGGGGCGGCAGCTGAGGTGGCAGCCATGTTGATGTTTGGAGATGGGTCGCAAGAGGCGGGTAATGTAATGTAATCGATGAGGTAGGGGGGTTCGTAGTCGTTACGACAGAAAGGTATCAGATGATAGATGCAGGTCGGTAGTTCTGAGTTTCGGGTCGTCGTAATAATGAAGAAGCAAGGAGTGGCGGGCAAGAGTAGAACCCGAGGAAACGATGAAGTTTAGAAGAGGAGGAGTATGAGGATGTGGTGTGTATGTAAACGAAGGAGGTCGTAGCTGCAGGTGCGGGTGCGAGTTGTTGAACTATAAGTATGGGGATATGGGGTATGTCGTACTCGAGTACAGGATAAAAGGCCTTGCCGTGTGACTCCGCTAATCGAATAGAGGAGAAGCTGGGAGAGAAATAAGATTAACGATTAAAGCGCCTAACAAAGAGCCGTTGCTCCTCCGGGGAGTGAGTCAGATGAGGCTGAGGACAAAGAGGGTGAGACACCGAGAGATGGCGATATGGCAAGATAAGAGATAAGAGATAAGAGCTTGGCCGTTATCAGGATAGAAGGACCGTATCGGGAATATTGATATATCAAGTGATGTCAGAGTTGTAATAATGTAGTGTAAAGCGTGTTGATCTGCGAGAGATGACGAGGAGGGAAGAAGAGAAGAAGAGGAGGAGGGGAGAAGGGGGTTCTTAAGGTGTTGATTAGCATTGGTCTTATTCCCTTGGTCCCTTGGTACGAGTGCCGAGTATGAGGAGGAGGAGTCTCGCTCGCTCAGCTGGCGTGGCGTCATGTGAGAGAACATCCCGTCATGTTCCATCCGCATCAGTCAGCACCAACATCATCCACCACCACTCCTCAAACCAAACACCCAAACAAGGCGCAGCCAAGGGGACCAACAAAAGCAGCGTATCAAGGCCTCGTGTGCCTGCGAGCGGCTATCGTCATCGCCATCGGCATCGCCATCACCAGTCTGGAACCTGCACAGCATCACAAAAGGGGACCAGACCCGGGATCCTCGATCCTGAGACTTGCCAGCAGCCGAGGGTCATGTCTCCATTTTCTCCATTCTCCGTTTCCCCATTATTAGCCTTCATGCAGGGTCTCAAAGGGTCTTGTCTTGTGGGTCTCAGGGAGGAATAATAATAATGCGATGATGTACTGTACCTACGAGTACTGTGTACAGAGTTCGAAATCGGCTTCAGTTCTGAGTACTCATTCTGCTAGAGGGAGGATTCTCAGATGTCGGCGGATATGCTTCTCAACGAAACTCGAAGATACATTCCTTAGAATTGAGAGCTCTATCATACCGAGTCCTTATCAGTTCTATGACGTCTCTACAGTATGATCATCAGCTTATCAGGGTGCTACGGTTGCCGACTGCTACACATGGCGCAATAATATAACCCGGCTCGGTTTGTAGTCGGCTGGCAGCTGTGCCATCCTACCTCTAAATCTTCCAAGCATGTCTCCTGCACTTGTATTGTTTGCTCCTCGGCCCTTTCTATCCAGGGGATATTGGGCACAAACATTGGGTGGTTCGGTTTTACGATTGGCACCTCCTCAATAGCAAAATAATTATGGCCATTACCATGAACCGCGCAGTTATAGCATCTCAGGAAGAATTTCTCGCCTTCTTGGGTGGAGTTCTCACGTAGACCGCGTGGCAGAGACTGCTGTGCGACTACCGCGACAAGTTATTGATACCGCGAACAACCGAAGTCTTCAAGATCCATAATCTTCCGAGGTGTGTATGCGCGGGTTGTAAAGTTGGATGGCTTCTTGAATACCTTAGGTAGGACATGGTATCGTCCCAGTGCTGATGCTGCCCCTGAGTCCTTGGCCACGCAAATAGACCGGTCATGGTGAGAGTGCATCTTGTAACTTTGGGTTGAGTGGCGCACGAGCTATCAGCTACAAGTACTCCATAATCTTGCTTATGTCCTACATGACAATCAATATACAAAACTGTATTAACTCCATTGTTATGTCTCGGTCCCGCTCTTCCTCCGTAAACATATCTTCTAGTAGATCGGTCTGTAACATAGCCCGGATCTTCTGGATACTCTCTAACTGCTCTTCTGTAAGCTGCAACCCTGTCTCGCTCTTATCTCCCTACTCTGCTAGCACTTTCCACAGAGAGACTTAAAAGAGCTACTGTCTTCGGCCCTTAAAATGATTTTATTACGTCCCAACACTACCTCTATCCACCACGGCCCTCCGCCAAAAGTTCAAGTCCCTTTTCCTCGTCTCTTTTGTTGCTTGCTATCCAAATCCAAATCTTCTCCCGTCCTCTTGCGTATAGCGACAGACTTCCTTGGTTTGGCGGCCTCCAACTGCTTGAATTCCTTCTCGAGATAAGCTTTAAGTTCTGGGCACGTTTTCACCTCGCTGAGGATTTCTCTCATGTCCGGCTTAACATAGATTCCGTTTTTTATGAAACTTCTAACGAGTTTCATTTCAGTACACTGTTCCCATCCTTCGAAGATAAGATACCGTGCGGTCCGTAGGAATATTATTCGTTGGAGAATTTTGAGCAGCGGAGAAACACCATCTGACAGGCGTTGGTTTGGATCTGCCCCAAAGTCCAGCATAGTGGCGAGCATCAAGTACTCAGCCACGGACATCCTAGGGCCTTTGTGTACCAGCTCTAAGTCCAGTGCATATTGCCAGCTTGATATCCCATCGTATTCCTGGTTTGGCTGGGCCCCATGTGTTAGAAGCAATGCCAGTGCCTCTGGCGCATTGGGTATCCGACGCCTTATATACGAAACGAATTGCAGTAATAAGCACCCGTCTTGTCCCAGTAGCTTATATCTAGAACTTTCCAATTCTTCTTTCACGTACATATTTAACCCCATGAAAATAGAGATGGAAAACAAGTCCGCTGTAAAGGAAAATCTAGTCGAGGTATGCCAATTGGTGTTACTATTCCAACAAAACTCATATAATTTTGAGTGCCAATCTTTGCAGGCCAGGGTACAAATCCGATCGAGTTCTTTTAGAAACGGACTTTGCGACACACCCGTATTTCGTTCAGCCAAACGGCAGAGTTTGAAGTATTCCATAAGAAGACCATAAGCAAGATTCGGGAAACGGTTTCTGCCTATCTGGATTTTAAAACGGTGCCTGACGAAACAACATAGTTGTGAACGAGATTCCTCGCTAGCTTTCATTGTCCGGAACAGTTGATCTGGGGGCAACATCTTCAGTATGGTGAGAGCAGCAGCCATGAGTCCTACGGAAACTGGCCTAGTGAGAGCATGTTCTGTTTTAGCTTGGATAGAGGCCATAAATCCCTGGCTCGTAATGTATTTTTGAACTGTCAGATGTAGAAATTCCACCGTATTCTTCATTGACCGAGACAAAGGCCCCGAAAATTGCCAACTTCCTGTTCGGGTAGTGCGTGATGTGTATCCTCGAGTCTCAGGGTCATCTGAACGCCCCTTCCTTTGGCTTTCCTGGACGTACAATAGACCGCTGCAACGCACCTTCCTTTGACTTTCCCGGACATACAATAGACCTCTGCAACGGCTTTTAATCCGCCGTTCTACCAGCTCACAATAAGCTTGAAATTTGCAGTGGGCATCTTCCGTGTGATGCATTAACTGGCTCAATGACTCTTTTGGGTCTCGAGTAGCCAAGGCGAATTCGAGAAGAGTGAAAGATCCGTACCGATCAGGACATACATCGTCAAGGAGGTCCTGATCTATCGGTGTATAATCCGACTGGACTATATTGATGTAATTGATTGTATCATGGATAAATTTGGATGGTATTTGTTGAACAATACGGGCGTATAATTTCTCCAAGTCCGAAGGAAGTGACTCAAGACGCTCCATGAGTTCTTCTCTGGTATCGCCTTCTTCAAGTCCAATGATGAGATTGTCGACGACAATTTGGACCCATAGGAACACTCCGCCAGCTTTTTTAATAATGCTCTGACGAATGTCATATTCCTGGAGGTTCCGGTCTAAATGATAATCTTCCAATAAGTTCCAAGGCCCAGTCAACTTGGTTATAACGTACTCGGAGATATCCTCAGCGGTCCATTCGTGAATTCTGCATCTGGGGTAAGACTCAAGCGCTGGCTCAATCTCTGGTAGAGAGCGGCTTGCAAGGCACAGTCTGACAGCGAGCTTGGTATTCCTGGATGACTCCACTAATTTGGTCAGGAACTGAACCTGACTGCGATTTTCACCAGAGCATTCATCGAGACCATCCAAAAAAAAGATAATATTTCCAGAAACGGTTGGATGTTTGGCTATTGCCAACAAAGCTTGCTGTAAATGTTGCTCCTCGAGGGCAAAATTATCTTCGAAATCTTCAGATGTTAGAGACCCAGGTTGCCTATTGGTTGGTTTTCGAAGCAACTGGAGCACCAAAGAGGCAAGTCCTTCGAAAGAAGTAATAATCTGGCTCAAGAAGCTTGCTAGGAAACTTCTAAAAGTTTGTTCTCGACTTTCGCCTAGCTCGTGGAAGAAGTAGCCCATGACAGCGGGCTTTATTTGACCTGTAGGCGAAGAAAGATGCTTCAAGGACTCGGCATACATATATTTCATCAGGGTGGACTTTCCACTCCCAGGGAGTCCAGTGATCCAATAAATTGGCATGTCGGACTTCAGCCAGTCCACAAAGCCTGGGCCATCAACAGAGAAATCCCAAATCCACTGAAAGCTGTCCGCGTGCCTGTCGGAGATTTTTTCCTGGCGTGGATTGGATCCAATAGATACCAACTTATCGAGAAGATCTAATATATTGTTTAGAAACAGCCAATGTGGGAGAGATAATGATACTAACTTCTCACTTCTCTAGTATCAGCTGTAATTATAGTTAGACTAGTCTACCACGATTACAACTCAAAGGAGGGTCTTGCAGAGAATACATTGGATTCGTGACCTGCATACATATAAAACTATGGGAATAGACCAAGCTCACCGGGGCGTTGTTCACATAGATCGGCAATGTTTTCCTCCACGAAGAAGTAGTTATTCATGTCAGCTTTGACACTGGGGTTGAACCGACACATGCTGCTATGGTCTGCGTTCAGCCTGACTTGATTCTCGCGATCCCCCCCAAGGTGAAGCACAGCAGATTCTCGGGGAACAATCTATATCCGAAGATTAGCACATATGAGAGGGTTATAAAAGCAAATATCAAGGCGCACTTACAGAACCAATTCCTTCATAGAAAGACAAGAAGCGATACTGTTCAAGTTGATGCCTCCAGTTCTCATGGAGCACATCAGAGAACAGGGACCCTCTTTTTAAACCTTCCATAATATCATTCGATACTCTCCATGGCATAGATTGGGCAACTGATACACACGATTTCGCGAATTTAACCTTCAAGTCGTCCGATGGCCCAGCATGAGGTGTACCGAAGAATACCACCGCAAATCTATCGCTTCTGAGTTCAAATAAACTAGATTATTAGGGACTAACTCACGTGGCATCCTTAATACTCTTGTACTTGGGATTGTTTTGTGCATTGACTAACGCCTAGAACGAGTTTAGGAATCGGGAAACCCAGCAGGTGAGAGACTGACCTGCTTGATGAGTATGCCGCCAAGACTGTGACCCATCATGATCAAGGGTCGCTCTGGTTCCTGGCTAGTCGTCAATATTTAATGTGGCCAAAGGGATGATGAGAGCTAACCCCCCGTCTCTTTAGTCGCAAGCATTCTAGTAGGGAATTTGCTTGGTGTACGAATCGTTCCTTGTCTGTCCCAAATGCAGGACTAGACTCATAGGCGTAGAGTAGTATTCTTGCATTTGGTTGAGAAAGTGGCAACGAGTCTCGGAGCCAAAGATGTCTACTCTCTGGGTCTTCCCAAGTGGCGGTCGCATGGTCACTGGAGTTCCACGGATTCAAGCCGTGGACTGCAACGATGCTATTGAGATTCAGTCAGCCTACACCAGGGAGATGAACCTCTCAATCTTACTCGATAGACGGGCGAGCATTCCCATTTTCGCCCTTTCCAGGATACAACTCTTCGATAGACTACATGATTAGCACCAAAAATCATACTATCTCTCGACTTGGCACTTACCATTGGGAATCCCTAGCCCTGAAATTTAGTAAAGGCACCCTCAAATTAGAAACAGAGACCACGTGAAATGTAGAGCGTGTGGGGTTGACCTTAAACAAGAATTAGTACTGGTTTGAAATATGCTTGGTGGTGGTTGATATTTATGAGCGACATTCCCCAAGGCTCGGCCAGCACGGAGTAACCAACAGAGGCGCAGCTGAACATGAACAGTTTCAAGTTTGTTTTTTCAGTGCCCATTATATGCAGTGGAACATGTAGTCGACATGGATACTAAGCCACGATTTCCTATTTAGGCAGAGCAATTGAAGATTGAATCACAGCCGGGAATCTTTGGGTCACAGCCCCAAAACACCTGCGAAGCACCTCCGGTTGATTAATACCTAAACTCTGGAACTGCATCCTTCGAAGTACAGGTAAGAATACCTACCTTCCTTAGCTGGTTTCTTGACAACCAGGGCGGGTTCACGTGATAGCAAGAAATACTTTGTACAACCGACAACTATAAAAGAGCTACCCAGAGTAGTGATGGAGCTTCTAGAGTTATGATAAAGCTGCCTAGAGCTGTGAACAGAGCTGGAGCTCAGGCTGCGCCCGACACGTGTGCGCGTATAGCCTCGGGGACTACCTAGGTACCTATGCACATGACACATCAAGTGACCTCCCTGAGGCACATATGGCGTACACCCCAATAACCCTGATTTCGGCATCGCCGAAACTCAACAATGGCTAAGGCCCTAATTCCAACACATACCTTCACTTTACCTTCTCCTCACCTATCCTTACCTATCCTCACTCATACTTACCCATACTTACCCACCTCTCACCTAAATCTCCCTACCTCTTCGCCTGCTCACTTCTGCTCATCTTACCCTCAGCAACTCAACCCACGTCATCCTTAGTATAGTACTGGAGCTATAGCTATCTTAATAAGTCGACCAAGCCGGTGAAAAAAAACCCTTTTAAAATAGCTCCCTCAAAATGTTGAAGTGGAACGTGATGGTTTCAGTCACTGTCAACCAACACCAGTAAGAGTGAAAGACGCCCAACAAGCATGAGAATACTGTTTGGAGACTGGAAAAGGGCATGGATCAAATAGACAGCGGAAGTGCGCGGCTCTATTCGTTTTGTCCTTTGGAAATCCGCAAGAAGCGCAGAAAGGGATCTCTTTTCCTAGGTTTCCTCCCCTCGACATTTTCAAGAAGCTCTTCATTAAGACTCCTTCGCGGACTACTAGCCCCATCTATGCTTTTCGGGCTTGTTTCTGCGATTGCCGTGGCCGAATTTGGCTCAAAAAGAGACTGCTGATATTCGAGTTTCTTTCCTGCCTTTCGCACTCGCAGCATTTGTGCCTGTTGTTCCTCGAATTCTTCAGCTACAGTGGTCTCGAAAGCAGACTGCCCATCTTCGAGCCTCTGACCCAGTGGTATTATTCGTTCCTTTTGCGTGTGTCGCTCCTTGAGATGATCGAGCAGCGGCGCAGTCTCCGGATTACCTGAGCACATGTCCGTGACTATTTCTAGGGCTGTAGATACTTCGCCTTCAAGCTCAATGCGGGAGTCTGGATCGGAACCATATTTGGTTAATACGGACAATAGTTTGTAGTCAAAGCTTGTTGATTTTAATAAATGAGTCCTGGATCGATACCAAGCACTCATCAGAGCTAGCTGCCAGGGTGAATGCGGTAGAGGCGGGGTGACATCGAACCTTGAGTTTGGATTGGCACCCATCTGAAGCAAGAGAAATATAAAGTTAATGTGCTGCACCGCCTGAGGGTCTGCCCCCGGGTCATCAGGTATGCGGGATATTGACAGGTGAAGTAGTCCTGCAAGGTTGTCACTGACTGACCCTTTACGGCTCTGAAGGACTTGGGTTGCGTACAAGTATGCCTGAGCAGAGACTGTAAGGGACAACATCGTGTCTCCTGTAAAAACTCGCCCAAAATTTCGCTCGTGTCGGATCCGGAATTGAGTCCAGTGGGCCTCATTAGTATTCTCGGTGAACAAACATTCTGAAGTCTCAAAAAGATGAAGCAAGAATCTTTTCACAGTAGTCTCGCTCAGGAATTCGTCAAGCTCGTTCAATGTTGTGGTCTGAGGTTTGGCAACTGTTCGCTCTGCTTGACTGGCATGATACACGCAGAGATCGATATTGCCCCACAGTTCGTACTGACGGTACTTATCGAAACATGCACGGACTTGCCCAAGATAAGTCCGAACAAGCCATACTTCAGCATCGAACGCAAGGCTCTGCGTCAACTGGCAGATTTTCGACCAAGTGTACGACTTGAAGAGATACTCCTTGACAGTCAGATGCAAGAAATGAACCCTCGATCTAAAGAGCTCATTGATGGATTTGGTCCTTCCAACCGAGATGCTTTCAACCCCGCTCGTCAAATTTTCTGTTTCGTTTGTGATCTTTTCGATACGTTGCTGGGTAGTTGGTTGTATGCCGGTGGGAGTTACATGTCGCACATCACCTGCCTCCTTAACTTCTCTGAACCTAATTTCAAGCAGTCCAGCACAACGACTTCTCAATCTTGCATCGACTTGACTACATCTATGAATGAGTTCTTCAAGACTCAAATTCTCGGTAGGATTTGTCGTTGGCGGGCGATCCTCATCAGCAGACCAAAATGAGAGTGTTGGTAACGGTTCCTGAGCTGCCTGTGCGATTTGAAAGTAGCGGGAGGCTTGTACTAGATATCGTGGAGGGATTTTCTCTAACATGCGTGTGTAGAGCGGTTCCAACTCGGCCGGGAATTCTTCGAGTCGCCGCCTGAGGTCCTCCATGCTATCTTCATTGCGGAGGCCTTCCAACAAAGAATCAACAACGATCCTGACCCACAGGAAGACACCCGAAGCCTTTTGCACAATGTCTTCAACTAATTGTTTGGCATTCTTCGGATCCGTGCCTCGGAGGTAAATCATTTGTCTGGTGTTCTGGAACATGCTTGAGACATAGAGTTGGATGTCTCCGAGTGTAAGCTCCTGAAGCTTGATCGTTGGCAGTTTCTCAAATGCTTCCTCAAATTCGTTCAATGGCCGGCTAGACAAACAGAGCTTGATATCCGGGCTCTCCCGTTCCCATGTAAGAGCGGCAGCTTTGAGCACGTCTGCCAGATCGACCTTATTACCACTGTACTCATCCAATCCATCGATCAAAAGGAATAATTTCAGGTCTGGCGACGTATAAGAAAGTAGTTTCTGAAAGACCTGCAGCAAGTCCTTCCGCGTCCAATCTATGCTGTGCTGCCTTGAACGTATCCCTTTCCATTCTGTATAAACGGTGTGCCAGAGGAGCGGAAATAAGGTTGGAATCAGATCACTAGCTTGGCTCGCGACCTGGTAAATAATAGACCTCAATAAACCTTCGTAAGACTTTTGGATCTCGGTCCCTCGGTCATGGAAAAAGAAGCTAGCCACAACATGCCGAGCTTGAGGAGCGGACCGCTTCAAGTAAAGGCGAAGCCTTGGATCAGAAAGAATAAACTTCATCAGCGTCGACTTTCCTGAGGCAGCCTTGCCATTAACCCAGAAGATGCCGCTTCCGTGATTTAACCAACTAAGAAGCCCTCCAGTTTCTGAATTGTTGTAGACCCATTCAAATGTTTTCTTGAAGGCTGCTGCAATCTCCTCTTCTCGATCATTTATTCCTGGGAATGAGAGAGAGGACAGTATTACTATATGGCTGCTTAACACGGCTTCAGAAGGTCCACAATCACGATAATAACTTACTGTTTTTCGCTCCGTTAACAATCATAAGGTCACTCGATGTTTGAGCACGGTCATCTGCAGGAATACATAGTCAGAAAATATGTATACTAGAGACTAACAACGCCGAAAACAACACATTGCTATCTCGAGGCTTCTTGAAATTCCTGGATTTTAGACTCGAGGGACAATTTTCCACCCAAGGGCATGCCAGGCTTCGCCTCAATCGCTTGAGAACTCCGTGCGCCACTTCCTGAACCAATTCTTGCTGAACCAATTGGACCAAGGGACATACTTGAGGTCTGGGCATCTTGTGCTTTGTCGAGTAGATCTAGAATATAGTCTGAAGTCCGCTGATATCCAATATCATTCCTATCGGAGTACTTGCACATTTCCGAATGGTCTTTGGGAATACTGGCTGTTTTCACGCGAAAGCCATCGATGCAAGCCGAGCGTTCAGGAACGATCTGTGGAAACGTCAGTTCGTGTCTATTCAAGATAACTGATTGCAGCTTACCATACCGACAGCCATCGGCTTCTCCTCGAACAGACATGCCAACTGCAATCGTTCGCTGATAGATGCGAATGACCTTCGTTGCCTTTCTAGGACATCAGAATCCTCCTCGAGAGTTCTCAGAAGAACTTTATTTGGCTGGCGCAAGGTAGCCTTCGCGATCCTTCCCACGATTTCGGCGAGCCCAGCTTTATCGCTTCCTCGATGAGGGGTGCCTATGAATACGACCCCTATTGTATCTTTATATACCGCTCCCAGTCGCAGATCCTGTCCATTGTTCAAATATTCCGAAGACCTGATTAAAGCCTCCTTGATGACAAGCCCTCCAAGGCTGTGGCCAACAAAAATTAGAGGCCGAGAAGGCGTCCTTCTTCGTAGGCGTGCGACATCGGACAGAAGGTTTTCGGCGTGGCCAAAGATGCTATTTTGGCTCGAGAACTCGTTGAGATAAGCCACGCCAGAATCGTAGCCCCACTGGCAGGCGTCAGCACGGACTCACGAGGTTGTGAAAGTAAAGTGTGCGGGGATGCGGTATGGATTTCATCAAGGCATACCGTTGCGATTCTAGCATTCTCCGCATCCTCATTCAGTAGATCTCTGGGCCAGCAGACCTTGGAGCTGGTCCAAGTAGCAAGCGCGTCTCCTCGCAAGCCATGGACAAAAATTACACTGATCAATTCCTTAGCATGCGTTGTGTGCCATTTCACAAGGTGACAAGGCTGGGTAAACGTACTCGGCGACCACTGGGCTTGAACCTTCTGAGAGGACGTGAAGTCCTTGTACCGACATACTATATGTGAAGGAGGAGATGCCTGAACAGCAGAGAGACTGCCACTGACAAGTTGTAGGAACTCTGGACAAAATGATAGAAAACGAGGCTGTCTTCACACAAATCTCAGGTGGTGGCTGTGCTCTAACCGAAGTGCCAAACAGACCGGACGGGGGCAGATGGCCTTTATCCTCGTCACATTGTGTGCTTGTGTACCAGAATCAATCAACTCTTTCTACCTATTCAGTGCCTCCCAAAAACACCGACACATATGTATAGGTACCTAGGTACCTTTAAAAGTCGGACCCTCTCTTCTCCTCTCTTCAGCTTAATATCTTTAAACCAGGGCAGTTTTCGCAAAGCCGCCGTTAGAGGCACTACTACCTACATTTAACAACTCTACCCCGCCATTTGTGGATGCTAGCATTGCCGTCGTGTTCACCTGCATGGCATTTGACCTGGTTGAGACCGTCAAGGCCCTCGCCACCCAGGACTTCATAATAGATGGGTTTTCGCAACTCTAGTGGTAGGTATTAGAAGCGCTGCGAGTGCTACTGGCTATTAATGACGCCAGCAGTACTCGAGTACTATTTTCTCCCGGTGATGGTAGTCCTGGACTGAACCAGCCATACTGTAATAGACCCGAAAACGTACCAAAGTTACCCCAGTCATGCCATACGGCATTGGTAGTACCCTGTTAAGGAGGGAAGGAGCGAGAAAGTGCGAAGTCAAAGTGTATGGTATTAGTGGAGGGAAAGGGAGTTGAGAAGGTTTACGAAATTGTTGCGCGAAGGTAGCCGGGCGCGACAGAACACTTCAAATTGCGGCGTGTGTCTACGTTATACTCCGTAGAGCCACCGTAGGACTTGGAGCCTGGGAGCATCAAGTTGCATCCCAGCTCCCCCTAGGCATCCAGCCATGTCACAAGTTCACAACCAACAAATCTTCATTTACCCTTCAACCTCCATCTGGATCCTTAACGTCGCCATCATGTAGAGCATTATCGCTTTCAATTCCGACCTTCCGGTGTCCTTAAACACTACCCCAAAGCAGGTTGCTGTTGCGAAAAGGCTAGCTCAGTCGCACCTCAACCTGCGAGCTATAAAGGCTCGAGACGTGGCCGTCCAAGGTTTCTTCAGTAAGACTCTCATGGTGACGATGGCATCTAAAGAGAGGGTCATCATACAGCTTCGAACCGAACCCCTCGACGTGGAGATCTTTCAACATGCCCGTCGGGCGCTGGGGGATGTCGTTCCCGACATTGCGAAAATCGCAGACGAGGCTCTGGAGAGCGAGGGGATCTGGCCATATTATATGACGTTCATGCCAGGCGAGACCTGGCGGAGAAGTCGCGCGTTCGACAGCCCTGTTCTGACCACCAAGTTCGCCAAATCTCTAGGCGGAATACTTTCACGTGGCTTTGTCTCCTATGACGATGGTGCTGTAGTAGATACCGCTATCAAGGTCCAGTTGAAACGGCTACAAGCAGCAATGAACAACGAGTCTAACGAAGAACGGGCTGATCAAATCAAGCCATTTAGAGGCGATATTCAGCGCATGCTCGACAGCGCAGATCGGCTCAAAGTACTTCCACTTTTTATTTCGCACGCCGACCTCAACCACATGAACATTTTAATTTCTGAGACTAGCGAGGTGTCGGGAATCGTCGATTGGGAACTCTCATCCGACCTTCCATTCGGCATGGGTTGCTACAGGGTACACGATCTTGTGGGGAGATACAGGCATGGCGAGTTTCGCATGCTGGAGGGATTTGAGGATGGCGAGCGGGGCTTTTGGGAGGCTGTTTTTGAGGGCCTTCCAATGGATATCCGACGAGTGCTAGATGCGAACTTAAACGCAGTTCAGTTCGCCGTCCATGTTGGGACTCTCTTGGGAACTCTTGACCTCCAGGGAGATCACTTCAACCATGCCGCACTAAAAGCACTTCCCAAGTTCCTTAGCTACCGAATCCCTGCTCTAAGGGGCCAAGATCCGCCATATGCGAAGTAAGTCATGGCGAAATTCGAAAGCCACAGGCAGCGATGGCCAGTCGCAAAATTGATTAATCGAAATACGGAAGTGGAGAGAGTCGATTGGCATGGAACTCCAAATCCGTGCTGGAAAGCGTCAGCTAGCAAGCAGTCTTTGCCACATAGACACCAGAAACGCGTATGCTGCGAAGGCAAGTAGCTAAAGTCGAGAATGCTCAATGTCGTTGTTTATGTCCGAGGTTTCGTGGATGATTCCGGAGACTGATGCTGGCACTCAAATGTGTTTCTATCATCACGCCCCCCTCTCCAATTTATTAAGATCCATTTGCTCTTAACGTCATGGTCGTTTTTTGCTCTCCGAATTTTCTGATATTCGGTGAGGAACGGCTCAAGCTGGGTTCTAGTTCTAATACCAACAGTTAAGCGATCTATTTTGGTCCGGTCGCGAGTATCTTGGGCTTATGAATAGCCAAACTAATCACTGATATTAGTGACTTCCAAGTGGTCGTTTGCTAGCACCCGGCTATAAATTTGTTGGTGTTGAAGCTCAGCATCTTCCACGCAATTCTTGCTTTTAGGTTGACGAGGATTACGGCCCAGGTGATAAAGGAAATGAGTTCAGCTATATGAAGGTATAGAGCCAGGTAATCAAGGATTACTCCTTGGAATTCTCTCCTTCTACTGTTGAAGCGTTAGCAGCCTATATATACTTGGTTCTGTCCCCCCGTGTTAAGAGGAAGCAATCAATTCGATCCCTTACTTCTATGACCAATACTTTCAGAATCGTCCCATCCGATTCCTCAAGACCATGAACGGACTCGCAAGTCAAAGACACGCCCGTTAATCGGAGATAGTCGCTATTACGCCGATATGTGGTTGCATTTATATGTTTTTATACAATTACGGTTGCAAAATAGACGCTGAATAATTTTACCCAGTCTATTATTTTACTCCATTTGTAATTCGAGGGGGATAAAACTCTCGACGGATATACGTACGCCTCCGTAGTACGGCAGCTACCCTAGTATCTGTAACCAGTCCCCACTCTGCCATTGACAACGGTACGTTGCCGCGAACGGCAGTGTTTCGTAGCCAGCTAGTTTAATATTTATGAATGGCAAGGTTACTCGCAGACATTCTCTATATTACTACATTGATCAATGGTGCCCTGCCATTCATGAATGGCAATATCAGCAACTGGACCAGAATATATCTGAACCATGCCGTGTGCCCTTCCCCACCACAATTCCAAATCATTGCCACCCCCATGCCATCCCAAACGGGGCATCATTTCAGCCCTAGTCCAACTTGATGCAAGCCACTCATATTATTTATGCCCCACACTCTAGATCTAGCCATGGTGCGGTTCACAGTTGCCAAGTCCAGGCAGGCGCAGCCCAGGGTTGTGAGTTCATGGTCTAAGATTGATGAATTTCGGCCAGGCGTGAAAAATACGGCCAAGAGGGGAATGTCGAGGGGGCGGACATCACTCGTAGGTATGTCTGGCTTCAGTCTTGATTACCGGACTCATAGGTTGTTGGGGTAATTGGGATCAGAGAGGGGTGGTGCTACAGGCGGGTATTCAGAGCGGAGATGGTGGAACTCAAGAGTATTTGGGGCGGAGAAGGGGAGACGCTTGGGGAAGTGAAATAGTAAGTGGGTGCTTGGCATGCTTTTGTATTTTACGAACAGTTTCGATAGAAAGGTGACGTATACACACATCTTGAGTCTCCTATTTGGCCCTACTAATATTCTTGCCAAAATAGGGAGCAGAACGGGTACTGGCAGCCAGGTTTCTACCGATTTCAGGTACAGGCTGAGTCGAAGCTTGAATATGAAAATGTCCCTTGCCTAGTGCCAGCTTGTTTCGGACGTTTCTTCAGTTCATGAAACGGAGCTTGCTAAGATACCTGACGCAGAAGCCGTCTATCCATGGGTAAACAGAACCCGAAAATGATTGGTTCGACGCCCGTTTGAGTAAAAATGATTAGTTCAGTAACACTTCCTCAGATAATAAATAACGTTACGGCCAATTAAAAAGCTTCCGCTCGCCCAGAAAGATAAATTAGACCAATGATCATAGGACAGCTCTCAAACCTTTTCGGTCCGGCAGTTTCTATTAACAATCAACACTGCATGGTTTGGGGTGGATTTTGTTGTGGTATACCTTATTGGGACACGATCGTCGCCTGTACGTATCGCAGTTCGCAAGATCAACTGCCGCAGATTAAAACCTTATTTGCTAATCTGGGAGTATTCCATGGCTAATTACAACAGAGCGTTAGATGTGACCGTGTGATAAGATCTATTGCGACTATGATGCGGGTAGCCATTTCGGCTGGGAATTACCTGCCTGCAATAAACCTTTATAGGATGCGATACCATCTTATAGTCCGCTATGTTGGCCTCTCCTTTTCGAAATCTCTGACTTCTCTCGCCTCACACTGCCGGCCCTGACATCAAGCCCAAGATGAAGTGGAATTCTCTTGCTCTAGCGCTTGCGCTGTCCGCGCAAAATGTTTATGGAGCTGCGACACCAGACGCTGATGAAATTGCTAAGCGTCAATTTGCACAAGCAGCAATGATGCGCTTCGAATGCTCACAGCTGGTTATCGAGCGCCTCGATCCCTTGGTCCAACCTGGAGTGACCCCATCCTCCCATTTGCATCAAATTGCCGGTGGCAATTCATTCACCGCTGATATGAAACCCGTCGATTATGATCCCTCTAAATTGTCCACCTGCACATCGTGCACATTCTCAGAGGACTTTTCAAACTACTGGACGGCGAACTTATACTTTAAGGCTCGTAATGGGACGTTCAGGCGTGTGCCACAGATGGTCAATTTGGGCCTCCAGGGGAAGAATGGTGGTTTAACTGTTTACTATATTCCTCCATATGATGGGAAGACTAAAGTCACTGCTTTCAAGCCTGTAAGTACTGTACATCCCGATTCCGTTACATCACGTGTGGAATAGAAGGCCGGATTTAACTTAACGGTAGGGTTTCCGCATGATCGTCGGCGACCCCATGCTCCGGACAGGCAAGAATGAACAGAAGCAGCTCTGCCATCGTTGCTTCAGCAACGTTGCTCAGAATCCATTCGGTGGTGCTCCTTGTACTGGTGATGACACTTACACCCTTCCTACGAAGATGTGTGGCGGAGGCATTCGGGCGACCATTACGTTCCCAACGTGAGTATTTCTAGGTTTATTTCTTACTTGGTTCATTCTGTCAGACACTAATATGAACTTATTTGTAGATGTTGGGATGGAAAGAACCTCGATAGCCCTGACCATAAGTCGCATATTGCCTACCCAAGTAGCGGAAGCTTTGAGTCCACTGGCCCTTGTCCATCTTCTCACCCCGTCAGGCTCCCCCAGGTTATGTACGAGGTAATGTGGGATACCCGGCCGTTCAACGACAAGAGTCTATGGCCCGAGGATGGTTCCAACCCATTTGTTTATAGCATGGGTGACCCGTAAGTCTCTAATCTCGCATTCCCTCGACCATTTTATGATCGATTTTCTATCTCCTAAGTTATTCATTGGAAATATGTGCTAATGACCTGTATAGCACTGGATACGGGTGGCACGGCGATTACCTCTTCGGCTGGAAAGGCGATGCCTTGCAGAAAGCTTTGGACGCTAGGTGCAGTGGCGACAAGTGCAGCGCACTCAAGACCCAGTCTGCAGCTGATGCCAATAAGTGCATGAAATCACAAGATGCTAAAGAGCCGGTTGAAGGATGTAAGTCCCGCCTCCCACCTCGTCATTTCATGGAATTGAATGTCAGGCACTCTGTGAACTAACTTTTGCCTTACAGGGCTTACTGAACTTCCGGGAGGCATGCCTGTTACATACGAGTAATTTAAGTGTTTTAGTTTCACAGCGGACTAGTTTGGTTCGAGGCGTTTTGTAAGGTAGCTTCCAGGGGTGAACGTGAAATTGCAACAATACCCACTCGTTACTTTGAGTTTCTTGTTCTGCGTCGTTGTAAGCTTTTTAGGATTACCTGGACTTATAAAAGAAAATAGTGGCAGAAGTATAACTATATAATAAGTGGATGTTGATGATTACAACTTACTTCGAGCTACTTATAAAAACAAGAAACCCCCGTATGATTGGTTCCAGCCTTTCAGTTTTGGTCCGCGTAATTGCATTAGCATGAAGTAAGTCTCATCGGCCCCTATCCTTAGTCTCCTCCGCAATAGGAACTGGTTGCTTACAAAATTAGTTTGGCGCATGCTAAAATACGTCTCATCCACACCCAACTTCTATGGAACTTCGACCTCGAACTTGAAGAAAAGAATAGGAGGGTGACTGATAATATGAAGATGTATACTCTGTGGGGGGAGCGGCGAGCGCCCGCTATATGCTAAGTCGAAGCCATTGGTAAGAGGTTGCGTAGTTAAGTAGCCTTGTATTATTATAGAAAGTCATTTAGAAGGCATGACCACCTTCCATAATCCTGTTGAAATGCTTTGATAGTTTCATAGATAAATCGTCGCTTCTATTCTTTACACCAACAATCCCCCAACCAAACACGCAACACCAACCACAGCCCATTCATACACCCTAATGCCCACGGCAGCACCAGGTACCCCCCCAATAGCCTCGCTCCCCTCCGTCGTCGCGTTAGCTCTTAAACAGCTCATCCGCGCCATGGCTATCCCGGTAACATTCTTAGCACCACCTCTCCCACCCTGCCTGAGAAAAATGGGCCATATACGTGTGGTTGCCTCCTGGTAAGATATCGTGTCACTCGCGTTGTGCACTGCCGACGAATGATGGATATATGCGCTTCCATTGGCATATTTAGATTCGAATTCTATTATGATGTTAAAGGGGAACTCGGGAGTCTAGAGGGAGTGGTTTTGAAATTCGAATAGGCCAAGGTTAGAGATGGGACATACGATTTGAAATACTCGCGCTCGAAAGTCTATACTTGCAACTCGCAGGAGGCGGCGGGATAACCGTTGTGTTTAATTTTGATGCACGTGTACTATGTATCGCGGATTCAATAACTTGAGAATAGTCGCGCACACATTTCTCTCCCAACGTCGCATGACAGTCTCCGGTATCCTTCTGCCCATCGACCGTCGCGTTCCGTGCTACATCTAAGAAAATAACGAAGGTAGTATCCCAGTCTAGAGTTTCCACCCAGCCTCCTCGGGTGTCGATGCTGATTACTGAGTTGGTGATCACGTCTGTGGATGGGGAGGGTGTGTGGTGCAGGTTCGTGACTTCGGTAATGTTTAGGTGTGCGCTCCAGAGAGCTTCGATACCTACCATAGGACCGACGCTCATATTTATTGCAAGGATATCGACTGCTCCTGTTGCGTTCGGAGACGTATTGGCCTCGCGGAAAACATCGTCATAGTATGGGCCGGGCCCGAAGAGGGTTTCTGGTATTGTGCCGTTTGATTCTGCGTTGGTGAGGGCGAAGGTTGTAAATAGGGGGAGGAGGTATATTGACTTCATTTTGGACGGCGGGTTAAAGGTTAACGATGTAAGAAGTGGGAAGGAGTCTTAGACTCTAGACACTCTTCTACTCAAATGAGAGATACATCTATATATATGTACCTACCTACGTAGTAACACTCCTTCCATAAAGTCAGCAGTCAAATACGCCTCACTACCCAGCATCCAGGGCGATCAACCTGCTACGCCACTATTGCGACGGGCCGGCTGCCCATCGTTCATTTTGTTATACGTGATTTCAGGGGTTTCATTGGTCAGGATCCTATATCGCTCGCAAAATATCTCCAACGAAGAAGTCCGCATCAAATCACTAGGATTAAGCTCCTTCAGGTAGATAGCGCTGCTACTTAGTCAGATTGTTTTTACGTTAAAAGGCTGGGCAAGGGAGAACACTAAATTCAAGCGTGTTTCAACTCTCAAGTGCCAATTAGTACGTAGTACCTTACGGTCAAATGGGTGGTTTTGTGGGGCTAACAGTAGGAGGGTTACTCTGTATATAACAGTCTCTCAGGAGAATTAATTGTATATGTAGAAACACGTTATAACATGTCAATGCAGTGCGGTCAATCACAGGGCGTCACCTGACAGGCAATCAGGGGTAGCAGGAAGCCTTAGCAATCAGGCATAGAAAACGTCCCTGGAAGCCTGGCTATAGGTATTATAGGCTCACTCCGCCCACCTGTAATTAGCTCACCATCCCTTTCTCATTATCTCATGGAATACGATTACAATTACCGTTCTACTTCCATCTTGCGATCTATATAATCTCTGACTAGTTCCGAATTACCTACTTCGATATGATAAATCAAATAGTTGAACAATTATAGAAGTCAGGACTCAGACATATATCCCAAATATTATAATAACTTGAAGCTAGTTTCTCCGTACTACCCTTTACTTATACTTTAGTTTTTTGTCTTTATTATTTTACATAAATGTAGTTAACTACTCTTGGAGGCTATCGATCGATTATAAACGTTATAGTGTAATTATAGTACATTAGTGTACACAGTGAAAGCTTAATATTGTACTTTCTTACACCCGAGTCAAATACTAGCCAATGAGTAGGTTAGCTATAATACTCTCTAAGGGGCATATAACTTAGTATGAAAGGTGGTGTAACAGAAACTAGTCAGTCGAGCACAATTATTAAAAGACTAATTCATTGCTCCCATTGTTCGGAATGCTCATTCTGTTTAAAATTCCGTGTAAATTGAACAGATAATCAGTGTTCTGTACTAACGCGGTGAACTGCTTCAGCTCCAACAAAACATTCATCATGTCAACATCTCCATAAATACAATCTCATTGCTTCCATCCCGTTACTTCCGTCAACCCATCCAACATCTCATTACAAGAACCCCAAGACAGCAACAAATACCACAGATACCAATCCGCTACCTCCCAGCTTCATAGCTCCATTTGCTGTAACGACGGGAGGGCTAGAGCTTGGAGCTGGACCTGTCTTTGTGGGTGCTGCGGTTTCAGTTCCGCCTCCAGTAACGGTTTCGCCAGGACCTCCAGGAAGAACGCAAGTGCAAGTTGGGGCAGCTGAACAAGGGAACGGACCAGAGGTTGAAGTCCAAGTTGTTGTCTGACCGGTGCAAGTGGTCTCGATGGGGCATGTCGTGATCGTGGTAATTGAAGTGGTAGTGATAGTGGAATTATGGTACTTCGTTGTAGATGAGTCCGAGATTGGCGGCGGTGTAGTGGAAGTATCTGGAGGTGCTGTGGTAGTATCTGGAGGTGATGTGGTAGTATCGGGAGGTCCTGTGGTAGTTGTTGGAGGGATGGTCGGACAAGGCAACGAAGTCGTCGAGTAACTAGTCCCTCCACATCCAGTTGGGCAGGCAGTTGCACAGGTTGTTTCAACCTGAACGCTGCAGCTACACGGCAAGCTGATGGTAGAAATCTCCAAGCACGCAAGTACAGTGCATGAAAGGGTCGGACAGGCAGGTCCTTGTGTAGTGATAGTAGGGCATCGGTCAATGGGGGAGGGTAGGTCAATAGGCGGAATCGAGCTCTCAGCAAGAACATTAGAGGCCCCAAGGACCAGCGCAAGGGAAGCGAGTGTAGAGAATTGCATCTTGATATTGAATTCTCGTAGGTTTTGTTTTGGTTAAAGCGAGTGTGTTTGGATATGTTGACAGTATTGCAGAAGTAACAATGGACTCGTGGAGTGCGGCAGCAGCCGTTTAAATCAACGTTGGAGCCCGCAAGACTGGTATGCCGAGCCCTTCTCGTATTCAAGTTCCATGGTGGCGCGTAAGATGGGTGGAATGTTCAACCGCACGATGTGACGGTCAATACGAGGTTTTTGTTTGTTTAGGTTGGCAGCAATGCGCGGGGTTCCTTTGCCAATAAATCCGCCGCCAATCAACAGACGACGATTCTCGTATCACTCGCGCTCAGGTGAGTAGTTGAATCATGCTTAAAATAATAACCTAGGGACTTCGAATGCAAGGGCCCGGTACTGGGTATTGTGGGGAACTTTTGTTTGCTGATGAAACTGAGCAAAACATGTTCCTAAGGAGTCGGATTGTTCGGATCGGTTTATGAAGCTTGAGGTCTGAGTCTCTGAGACTCTGACGGTACCAGTCCCAGATTCAAGCTGACTTAGCTGAGTCTGCCCTTTATTTTTATCAGATAACTTGTCAATACATATTATAGTAAATAGGTGTTGGATGCCAATATAATTGATGTCACAAGTACAGTACATTTAAACTTTGGGAATGTTGTCACAGTCGCAGTTGAGGAACCTCGTTAGAATAACGGGAAGTCGACGGGCTTCGGAATGACCCGTAGTATGGTGCAGCCTTGGCTCCTTTTGGCTACACATGGTGATCTTTGCCTCCTACGTAACAAGGGAGACAAAGGTCTTCACTTCCAGATTGTTACGTGGGCCAAGAGGAGGTCCAAGGGCGTGGCGCATTCTTGGAACAAATCAGGTTTCTATTAGGGAATGACAAAAACACCAACACCCACTCATTAAGGAATATATGTGAAATATATATCTTAATAAAACTAAGCTAAGGAATTTAACAACCCACCCTTGGTATCGTTGTATAAAGACTTATGGGCTAGTCCTCCGCAGTATGCGCTGAGTATCCAGATTATATAGAGGACGGTATAGGAGCGGGACGATAATGGCACAAAATTAGCGGGCATTTGCAAGTTATTATTGCCGGAAACCACCGATTTGTTCTCGGAGTGTACTGTACAAAAGGCACTGGATGTCTCCAAGTTATGGTGACTTGCCAGCTGAAGCTCCCTTGTAAACTTATTGTTATACTTCGTCAATTAAGATATGCTGTGTTATATAAATAGTACGTACTAACTAAAATATATATATATATCTTATTATATTATATCACAATAGTAGTATTACCACTATATATATCTACAACTAATATAAATATAACAACAAAGCATTAATTTTAACTTATCGGTTGCTTTATGAGGTTTATACATCATGGCATTAGCCAATTACTAAGTGTTTACTTAGCGTGCCCTGCCATTCTCGACCTAACGTACTATATAGACATAAATACTAAGTTCAAGAGAAGAGAAAAAGGAGATGGAATGGGCCGCTAGAATCAACCAGTACCAGACCAGAACACACAACATCATCTCTTTGGCATTTATCTATATATAAACAAATATTAACTTGTATCAGTAAGTAGTTGGTAACAGTACGGACTCTTCTCACCCGTATAAGCCAATAAAATGGGTACCGAGCAGGAAACGTGATTGATTGATAGATGACAGAATGTACGACTAATAAATGAAACAATATCAAAAATTCATTTCCATGCCAGGTAACGGGTTATGAATTATGGTAAGTCTCATATAGCATTCAACGAAATCCTGGCACTAAAAATATCTTCCCCCTATCAGAGAGTGAAATTTGAAAATGAGTACGTACTACGTAGAGGAGTCTGAAAAGTGCCAACCAGGATTATTTATAATGGGCAACGTATACGAGGTTCCTGAGTTAAAGAAATCCAAAAAAAAAAAGTTAGTGAGGTACTAACTCGGAAACTCCTCTGGTATCATCTTTATATATCCTACCTTGGCTTGACACACTGGAGGCATGAAGCTTGATGCGCAAGCCAATCTTGTGGGGCGGAGAAAAATACATATACTTGCCAAATATTACCAGACAGTGATATACAGAGAGCCTACAGGCATTGGAAACATTCTATGCTATTTTGATTATCTGTGACGGAGCTACTTTGGGTCATTTTAGTCCTCAAGCGTGGATTGATAAAACGACACTATTTTCTGATGTAAACCAAAATGAGCAAAACGCCGGCAGCAAGGCCAGTGATAATCAACAGTGGCAGGTTTCGTTCATGTCGTCGTGGAGTTATTGATTGATGGAGCAAACCAAAATAGGCTGCTGAATCAATAGGGTCATAGAGAACGAACGACATTGCTCTCCCTATAATAAAGATCTCTCTTAAACTGTCTCCTTGGCGGTCAGCGCAATGGAGTAAATATGCCGTAGAAAACGTGCGACTTGATCCACGCTAACAATACCTGTTGAATATTAAAGGACTGGTTCCTCCTCTCTTATCCCGCGTCCGCAATAGCTCCTTCCAAGCCCGAGCTTCTGCAGCAGTACAACAAAGAAAGCTAGACACTATGGAGTCAGGAGCAAGAGAATTTAACTGGCCCAAAGTTTATCAGAGATATTTCAGAGACATGACCACAAACTTCATTTGAATTTGATGTTTAAAAAGCTTCGACTTAGGCTAACTCGTCTCAGGTTCTATTTATTGGGTGAATCTCCAGACTGCACCGTCACTTGTAGAAATAAGGTGTACATAGCACACAAAGCCATTCTCAGCAAGCAGTCCTACTTCTTTCGCGGGCTTTTTCGAGCGGCTTTTAGGTAAGTAAAGAGCCCTATCTATGGGCCGACCTAATCTGATGCTAACAAAGATCGACGTAGGAAACAAAAGCCGGCCGAGTGAAGCTGGAGAATGACTAACCGGAGATTGTTGGTGTTATCTTGGAGTTCATCTATAGCTCCAACTATACCTCCCCAATTCCAGAGCTGGAAGCCCCATCAGCGATGTTCGACGCCAAGGTTTATTTTATTGCAGAAAAGTACGATGAATATCCCTTGAAGCAAGCTGCATTAGTACGCTTCGAGGCCTGCAAGTGGACGAACTGTTTCGAAATGAAGCTCAATTAGAACTTTTGCCAATTATCAAGGCTGTGTTTGAGAACACTCGCGACTCGGATAAGCCGCTGCGAAAGGTAGTAACTAGGCTGGAATATGGTGTGCCGGCCATGATGAACGGCAACAGGTTTTCCCCGTTGTTTCCCGAGCGCCCTGACATCACGGTATATGTAGCAGAGGCACCGCTTGAGAAGGATATGGGCTGGAGATCAGAGCAGACACTTCTGGCGGGCGCGGGTTTGTGGGATTGCCACCTTTGCAATGCCTAGTATGTTAAACTTAAAGATATGTTATACTGTTACCGCATTGCCAATATCTAACATTCTACCAATGGATAATATTTTGCCAATATCTAACAGGGTAATAGCGGCTGATATATTACCCTGTGGCGTGAATAAATGGCGAAACGGCGGATCTGTTCGTTGCCTGGAGAATTCGATCGAGTCGCTCTACGCGCTGGATATCAGCATCCGAGGTTGGCATAACAGTAAGCGATTCGAAAGTCCGAATAAAGTTATTGAAGTTGCGCGACTCAACTATAGCCTGGCTACTGTCCTGAACGTCACCTAGCTGACGAGATCAAAGGGCTGGACACCAAACGTTCTGATCCCTGACCCTATTCTCGGACCTCCTGGCTAAGTATAGGACCACTGATATGCGAAACACGAGCAAAACGATCCCCGGCATCCTAAGCATCATTCAGAAGAGTATTTGAGGACCCGATAACGCCAGCTACTACACGATAGAGGTCGACATTGAACGATGGAAGGCGCCTACTCATGGTCGCCTGCGACATAAGCAGCTCGGCATCGAAAAGCGATAATTGTCCTTCATCGATGGGCTGTAAGGTAGAATCTTGGATGATCGGGTCAAGCATTTTGATATCAGGGTGATGTGTAAATAGCCAATGATGAGAGATATCACGTATTGCATACTTCGTATACATACTCATAGTTTAGGAATACTTCTGGGCTCGTTAGCTTTGAATATACACAATCAATAGACACGCCAAGTCTACATACTGGACTATTTCAACTTTATTGTAGCCTTATCTGCGCATTCCTTTCGTGCATCAATAAGGCGGCCTAAATAAGGTCCTTAATTCTCGCTGTGGCACGACTCTTGGATGAGCACTGTCCTGCTGGCCCCTGTCCCATGCCCAACGCCTTACGAGATCCTCGGGAAGCCGGCCATCAAGCAACTGGGTGACGTATTTGCCAATGGTAGGTAGGAATTTCCAACCATGGAAAGAACCTCCTGTCGCAATGTAAAGGTTACTCGTTGGATGCTCCGAAATGATGAAATCTTGGCTTGGTGTAATGCCGTCCCTAAACACGAATATTAAAATAGACCACTACCATTAGCAGCGTGTGAGCATACCAACAAATCCTAAACGACTCAAATGAGAATCCTGCGAGTTGTTTGCCATATATCCCTCTTACTACCCGACAGCATTCATCTTTGAGGTTTGCGGGAACCTCATACTGGGCTTGATCTGGGAAGTTCGGAGGAGCTGATAGCAACTGACCCGAATCCAGATCCAGAGAAGTATTCATGAAACTAACGTCAACACAGAATTTCAATAACCCATCCGATGTAGGTGGAAGGACTTCGCCTGTGCATGATTCAGCAATATGGACAGGGAAGGGGTACGTTAGAAGATGGTACCTAGAACATTATCAATGTTATGGATAAACACAGGAGACTCCCTGAATCTATCCAATTGCTTTTCATTGAGTCTGACAACACCTGTCACAACCGCAGCAGCTGTGATTCGATCCCTCGCTTGAAAATTCTGGCAACGAGGATAGCTTTTGGCAAGCAACTTGGCTGTCCCTGCACCTGTTGAGAGGATGATTTTGTCCGCGAAAAGAGCCCGGCCATCTTCGGTCTCGACCCCAGTGCAATCACCATTCTCATTACAAATGATATTCTTGACATCACCTTCAACGAATTTAACTCCATTCGCTACACTTGCTTCAATAACAGCCCCGACAGCTGGTGTGGCTTCCGCCCAACCACTTAGAGGATTAATAAAGATTTCTTCAACATCTTGGTAATCAGTATCCGCGAACAGCCCGTTATATCGACCCTTCATCTCTTCAGGGCTGATAATGGCAGCCTCGGAATATACTTTGAGATCCTCGTAGTTCCTCACTATTTTTCGGCCAAGGCCCGTATTATCAAGATTTACAAGTCCACTTTGATGGTAAAATGGCGTGTATAATGGATCCGACTTCCATGCTTCTCGTGCCTCTAGAGCCAGTCCACAGTAAAAGAGGTTCTCATAATCAGCTCGGACAATCTTATTGTAGTCGTGTGAGGCCCCAAGTGAGCAAGGAAAGGAAGAAGAGCGATCAATGAGGATAACAGATACTTCCGGGTGCGACTTGGAAAGATGATATGCAGTACTGGCACCGAATACACCTGCTCCGACGATAATATAAGATGGTCTTTGAGCAGATGTCATCGTGAGAGTATATATGGTGGCCTGACGAGACTTGAAGGGTTAACTTTTGCAGCAAAGTTATAAAGCACACCGAAGCCAAAATTATAACTTGCAGGAGAGGTAGAAAATAAAGCAGTTATTCAATATAATATTTCTCCAAACATCATTTATAGATGAGACGAGTTGGGGGTCAACAAAAAGGGGTTTCGTGTCTCAGGGGTTGAAGCGGGGTCCCGGCACGTGATAAACCGCTCTTGGCGGTCAGGGGTCGTATCTTAGCGTCCTCGCACTATCAGCAACTTTTTTTGAATCTGGAAAATCGTCCCGCAAGTTCATCCTCGACAGACACGATAATGCCTAAAGCTACGACCCCAGTTTCCGCAGCGCGCCAGGCGCGGCGGCATAATCCTCTTGAACAGGATCTCACAGCAACCGGACCGTTGAAGAACAGACCTGAGAAGCGCAAGTCGAGACATCAAGAGGAAGGGGATCAATTTGTCGACTCAAAAGCGTCGCGAAAGATTCTAAGGATCGGACAAGAACTCGCGGATGAGGCGGCCCAAGAGAGTGGGGTACAGAAACCCAATGCGGCGTTTGATTTTGATTCGAGGTTCGAAGACGAAGAAGAGGAAACTTATGAGGACGCCGAAGCATGGGGAGACGATGACGAGGAAGTGGAGGAGATAGAGCTTGCGCCAGATGATCTAGCGACTTTCAGCAAATTCTTCCCGACACAAGAAGATCCGCTGTTAAGACAAGGATGGGGTGGGGAAGCAGAGGATGAGGAGGAAGGGCCAGGGACAAATTTGGCAGATTTAATATTGGAGAAAATTGCTGCACATGAGGCAGCGCAAACTGGACAAGGTGGGGCACGGAATGTGCCTGGACCAGTGGATGAAGACTTCGAGATCCCTGGAAAGGTTGTCGAAGTCTATTCTAAGTATGATCATGTGTTGCCTATGTTATCCCGCAATAACTGCTGACAATTTATAGAACTGGTCTAATATTATCACGATACAAATCCGGGAAGCTGCCGAAACCCTTCAAGATCCTCCCAACTGTCCCTCACTGGGAAGACATTCTCCAAATAACGCAGCCAGATAAGTGGACGACAAACGCTTGTTATGAAGCGACCAAGATATTTGTAGCAGGCACCCCCTCCACGGCACAACGATTCATGGAGATGGTGATCCTTGATCGGGTGCGGGAAGAGATTCACGAGACAAAAAAGCTCAACGTCCATCTTTTCAACGCGTTGAAGAAAGGGCTATACAAACCCGCCGCATGGTTCAAAGGATTTCTGTTCCCATTGGTCGGAAGCGGAACCTGCACCTTGCGAGAGGCGCATATTATATCGGCGGTCTTGGTTCGGGTCTCTATACCGGTGCTGCATTCAGCAGCCGCCATCAAAGGCCTTTGCGACATTGCAGCCCAGGAGTCATCTGCTGGGACAGAAGGAGGTGGAGCGACAAATATTTTCATAAAGGCGCTATTGGAGAAGCGGTATGCGCTGCCATTTCAAGTTATCGATGCCCTAGTATTTCATTTCTTGCGGTTTCGAAGCGTCGATCCTGCCAGTGTTCGGCCGGAGGATGTGGGGGGAGCAATGGAAGGGCTTTCCGGGGCTGCATTAAGAGATGTTAAGTTGCCGGTCATTTGGCATCAGTGCTTGTTAGCATTTGCGCAGAGGTACCGGAACGAAATCACGGAAGATCAGCGGGAAGCACTGCTAGATCTGCTGTTGACAAAAGGGCATTCATCCATTGGCCCCGAGGTTAGAAGAGAATTACTAGAAGGAAGAGGGCGAGGAGTAGCGGTAGAGCCAGAGGCGCCAAAGTATGGCGATGATACGATGTTGGTAGATTAGTTGTCGGCATCAAGAGCCCAGTTTAACTTTATGTATCCTGGAAATCAATTTGAGGGTCCGCGACCGTTTCCTGAAATTCCAAATCTAGGTTCCCCCCCCTTCAGGATTTCATTTTTTTCATCGAACCAAGCCATCCACTTGCCGTTATCAGGGTTTATACAAAGACCTTGACTTGGCTAGCGTACGTCTGTTGCGACACGAAGCTCTGTACGGAGTACCATAAGGTATGGTAGCTCTGACTTGGGTTCTTACGGCGTGCAACGTGCAGACTTAAATACTAAGTGACCATATAACTCTCGCTCATGGCGCTTTTTCAACGCCTTTTATCATTTCCCAGCCGTATGAAATCCATAAGAGCACGAAAAGGACAGAAAGCTACGATCGGCCCTATCTTAACAATACTTGATTATCGAGATTCGAGATTCGAGATTCCGAAACGACATCGCCGCTAAGGACGGCCCGCCTAACCATGAGTTGTTTGCCCCGTAGTGCGAAGTAGTTCGCCCCTAAGTACGAACCCCACGACCGATCGACACCCGGATAAAGAATTAGCCTTTCAAAAATGGGTTTCTTCCTGTTGCGACACTTGCTTCGAAATTGTATGCTAGGCCAGGCCACTCTCGTGACACTCAACGCATCCTCAACTGTGCTTATCCAAATCTTAATAGCGAATACTTTTTCCGGCTTATCTTCAGAAGTTCCTCTTAAAGGTTGAGATTGATTCCTTCTGTTGGATTTTCTCTAAGCCCTTCTTATTAGTGCATATCTGCAACTATCCCAGGATTATCATATATCTCGGACTCAAAAACAATGGCAAAGCCAAATATCGCATCCGCCGAATCCTCCAGGACGGAACTCGCACCAAACACTTCTCCAGCCCCCTCAATTCCATCCACAGCTCACCTCGAACGAGTATCCTACCTGTTTGGTTATCCAATTTCACATTCGTTATCCCCTCTTCTCCATGCCACCATTTACTCACACCTCTCGCTCAACTACGCACAATATCTGTACGAGACGCGGTCCCTGGAAGCATGTCTTTCACTTACTCGCACCCCGAAATTCTTCGGCGCCTCAGTAACAATGCCGCACAAAGTAGCCATCATCCCCTATTTGGACATGTTGACGCCGGAGGGTGAGGCAATCGGAGCTATTAACACGATATTCCTGCGGAACAGCCCAAGTGGAAAGAGATTATTGTGTGGGACAAACACGGATTGCATCGGGATCCGGGAAGCTATTCTGAGGAATATTAGCAAGGAGGAGGCCCAGGAGATGAAAGGGAAACCAGCTATGGTGATTGGTGGCGGTGGAACGAGTAGAGCTGCGGTATATGCATTGAAGACATTTCTCGAGTGCTCCGATATCTATTTAGTCAATAGAGACCGCAGCGAAGTTGAGCAGGTTATTCGGGAGTGTGAGAGTAAAGGTTTCGGTTCTAACCTTCGCTATGTGAGCTCTGTGGAGGAGGCGGAGAATCTACCTGCTGCGAGGGTGGTAGTGAGCGCGATTCCGGATTTCCCTCCCAGGAGTGAGGACGAGATCAAAACGAGGAAGATAATTTCGATTATGCTAGGGAAGGCCGAAAAGGGAGCTGTTTTGGAGATGTGCTATCATCCTTCACCGGATACGGCAATTTCAAAGCTTGCAATAGAAAACGGATGGAAGCTGATTGGAGGGGTGGAGGCAATGATATGGCAGGGTTTGGAACAGGATAAGGTGTGGTTGCGTCGGAGAGTAAGTCAGTTACCGGTGGAGAAGGTGAGGGAGGTGATAAATACGAAGTTGGCGAAGTCACGCCTTTGAATTATCTAGATTGTATATCTATAGAAAGAGTGGCCATATAGGAAGAATTTTGCGAATTATGCAAGTGGTCTTGGGTTGTTTTAAGTTATGATTCTATCATGGGCTTGGGGGATGTATCTATCCTGAGAAAATTATTGGGGATAAAACATCATGCTCCTGGGCGGGAATAATCCAACTTCTGCACCCGTTTCCACGTTTCCCTAACTACTCTCTCCTGCGCCTGTTGCCCAGTCTCCGTATCGCTGTCTCCAGCTGGTCTAATGGCCAAGTACAGTCGACTACCTAATCGTACTTCTTCAATTGGGTCGGTTTCAGGGTTAGGTGGTGGGTGTGCAGTTGTGATTAGACCGCCTGCTTCTCGGAGAATGCATATTCCTGCAGCCACGTCCCTATATATCAGTTAGATGGTTAACTCTTTTGTTAAGGGCTTAATCATACCATTCCCAGCATCCTCCCTCCCACCAAATGTCGAAGGATCCTGCAGCTACATATGCCAGATCTAGTGTTGCGCTGCACCATTTTGAATTAACATATGTCCTTAAACCAGGCAGTAGGAGAAAATACAATCAAGATATTACAAGGACTTACCTCCCTAAACTCCTGACTCCATGTACCATCCCTCCTTTTCCACCCCTCCCTCCAATCTCAGCCGCCATATTCACAAAGCTATTCACCTTCCGCCACATATTCCCACCTTCCGTATCCCTTCTGTCTTTGCCCCACTCACAACTGAAAATACACCCTTTAGGTGCATTTGGTGGTAGCACCTGCTTTGGGTTATTTACCAAGGGGAGACTTTTACGCGATTTGGTGTGATGGCCGTCATCTTGCCTGAAATTTTCAAGTGAGTTAGGACAAAGTGTTGAATATCTGACTAGTACGGAATGCGAACAAAGCCCACCAGTAGAAATGAGATATTCGTGATAAACAGATAACACATCGTATATGAATAACCTGTATTTATTGGGCATATAGGGAGATTTTTGCTTCACGGTAATGGAAAATTGAGTTACTTACCAAGCACCATACCCCACCAGCGCAGAATACGTTGTATCCAACACTGGCTGGTATATTATCCCAACCACAGGTATTCCATTAAGAATAAAAGCAATACTAACGCAAAACATTGGGAACAGGTGCGTATAATTGACCGTCCCATCTAAGGGATCAACACACCATGTGGGTTCGTCCGTAATGAGATATTCTCTTGACGAGCCGGATGAGTACGTTTCTTCGCCAATGAACCTTCATTTTATGATTAGCTAGATCTTTTAACTTTTTAGAACTGTAATAGTGAACATTTTATGTGGATTGGGGGGTGAAGGACAACATTCGGGAAAGCCAGTGTTCACTGCCTAGGCACTTACTTATGAGACGGAAATCTCTCGGTAATCTCCTTGAGCACAAATGCCTCTACGTCTACAACATACATCTCATTATCAGCATACTTTCAAAACCCCGCGTCTCGTGTTTGCCAGCTTCGTTTCAACTGCCTACATTTTCCAACCCCAGGAATCAAGGCAAAATGAACGGAAAAAGGATGACTGTCATTAGTAAGATCATTTGAAAGGGCAAAAATGATGATAATACCTACCTAAATCAGTCTGCGTCACAATATCAACCGCATTCATTTTCTCCTCCCCGGCGACATCTCGTTTCTCATCTCTCCCGGACGCTTCGCCGGTTCGTCTCTCAACTCCGTCCATTAGGATCCTGCCCGCTCTACGGCCCAAGTCCAAGGCAAAGCTGTATATTTCTTGGAGTTCCGCATCGCTAAGGGAGAAAGCCATGATGGAGGTTTATGGAGCCTTTGGCTATGTTTTTGATGTGTTGGGCAGAGTATGGTTCCCGCGATAGAAGCTGAAGAGAGGGTCATGAAGGACGTCGCCTATCGAAGCCGCGGATATGCGCCCATGGTGGGGCAGCTTATACCGGGTTTTTACAAATCGTCATAGACAGTGGGGTTCTTGTCGTTTTGGCGGCCAAGGCTGAGCGTTTTGCCGATATCATAAAATAAAGGGACTAGAAGGAATTATTGATGGGTATTCTATAAATGTAGTTGATTGGTATATTTCTCATTTCTATATTATATTAGAGGGCAATTGATCCTTATTGGGCACTTTGATTTAAAAGTAGTATTCGAATATCAACACATAAATTAGCAGCTAATGCTTTCGATAGCATGCTGATCCTACCATTTTACATAGTATATACATAGTACACATATCCACAGAGCATAGAGGATACTCCTATAATATTGTGAAATAAGAAGGTGCTCCAGCCCCCTTCCGAAAAAGAATAGGGAGGAGTTGATGCTCAGTCATTACCGTACCAGTGCCTGCTGGTCCTCTGCCGCGCGCAGCGCCTGTAAAATTTGGCCCGCTTCAATGCCCTCGTCCTCCTCGTCAACTCTCACGCCAAGGAAGCCAGGGCCGCCGAAGAAATTGGTCCCCTCAGTGCTCGAATTTGCGGCTAGCTGCTGGAAAACATTGTTAGGATGGAAAGGATCAGGGTCTTGACAAAAGGCATAGAAGTCCTGATTCATATTGTCGCGATCAGTAAAGCCGAGATTCAGTAGACTCTGGTCCCAATTGCCCGTCCTAGATACGGTCAGCGATTAATATAACTACAGAACTCGGAACATACCATTCCATGGCATCAAGGGCCGCAAATTCGTTGAATAATGGGTCTATGTCATTCTCAGACCCCGTACAAATACTGCTTTGAAGCTGCGGGTCTACTGAAGGCAAGGTGTCCAGGGATGCATAGTCGAGTTTTGATAAATCGCCAGGGCTTTTCATAACTGTTGACCTAGATGAATCCGCATTTCGTGGCCCAAGCAGTGCGCGGGAGTCCTGATAAATAGTCGGTAGCTCAGGTAGCCCAGGACCAGAGGTCCGCCCAAAACTCTCAGATCGCGGTAACGGTCGAGGTGGCGGTGCCATCACCGGCTGGCTCATAGTCCTTGGCCGCTGCATATTCCGCTGAGGGGCAAGAACAGGTGGACGGTATGATCCGGGCCTCTCGAAGCTCGTCGCGCTTGGCGGAGTTGCGGTTGATAATGGTGTATCTGCGGGTTGGTTTGTGCCGGTGATGCGATCGAGAGCTACCCCGCCCTCTCGATGATTATGGGACGATGGTGGACATGAGACCGAGTTCTTCAACAACTCAAAGGAGGGCCAGGCCGGCTCCATTGCATCCAACTGGATGTCAAGGCCATGCCTCCAATCGTTGATCATAATATGGGTATTCTCTATGTTGCCCTGAACTTCGTTTAAAACATCATGGGCACGCTTCATAAAATACTCGTATGTCGGGGGAACGATCAGCAGCCCGAACTTATGCGAATGGTTCTTGAGAAGCTCCAAAAGCTGGCCTGGAATGGGTATGCATGGTTCCAAATCCACTCTCCCCGGACTAGAGATATGACTGAGTAGTTGAGATGTTGCCAATGTAGTCAAGTATGCGGCGTGCAGATGGTATTGGTGGGGAAGTAGTGAAGATATCTGTTCGCGGCTCCTCGCGGATGAATCGAAATATAACGGTGATGGTTGACCTTCACCCCAAGCATACAACTTCTCTAAAAGGCCACTGCTGATTTGCAAAGCATCTGAATTTCTCGAGACGCAGATAGCGTCATTCAAAACTTTCAGTAGCTGAATAAGTCGGTTGAAGGTACTCAGGATAGAAGCAGGAACCCGGGAGTTTCCAGAACTCTCTCTGCGTACCGACAGGCAGTCATTCCAAGGGTCCCATTCGTCTAGACCATCTTCGTCAAGGGGCCCAACTTCGTCAATATCATCCCTCCTAAGATGTGGCCGGCGTCCCAAGCGAGCAGCTATGATAGTGTCAAGAACGAAGCATCCCAGAAACACATGTTTAGCTCTCGACTTAGCACTCGATGAAGTGGGAGTTGGATCCTCGGAGTTGGAGTTGGCAATCCCTAGCTGAGTCGCAGCTCGGACGGCTTGTCCAACAAGCAACCATGCTCGATCCAAGTGACCTATGCCCATGTTTGAAAGGGTTAAGATGAGAAGTGCTTGAATATGGCCGAGTTCCCATATCCCTTCCTCATCGGGTATGAGTGACCTAGCTTGAGAGTACATTCTTTCGGCCGTCCAGACCATATCTCGGACGGAGCCCTGGGCTCGGGGGATGTTGTTGATCGCTCTATGTTGAAATTTCGCATATGCTATCACGGCCCACAGCGCAGCTTGATCGCCAGATGAGGACGGCGGCCTTTGAGACTCTGGGTACTGATAAGACGTCCGTAATATATCATGCTTCTCGATAATTGGTAACCAAGGATGAGTATAAGAGAAATGGACGTCCAAGAGATGCCAGGTTTCGGAAGGAAGATCTGGCGGGCCTGTACTCGAAATCGGCGTGGCGGCTGTTCCTCCATACGATGGTGTCAATATTGAAGCTGATCTAGTTGCATATTGGCCCCGTTCGCCAGCACCGTCTAGACTCGACGAATCGGCAAATTCATTTGAGGTATCAATATATGGCGGATATGGACACTCTTCATTCCCAGGTTGGAAGACAGGTTCTAGCTCCGTAGGACGATACAAGTCGGGTCTTTGGGCAGCTTGGAAATCAGAGCCCGCCCGCTTCCGTTTGTTGCTGCTTTCAGCACTTGGTTCTAGGCCAGACAATAATCGCTCCAACTCCCGTGACAGATGAGATCTCCTCCATACGTTTACCAACTTCTCCGAGTTGGCTTCATCATTCCAAGTCTTAAGAGAGCTGGTGTCAACCTCCTTTCCGTTCTTCAACGCCTCTAGAATGGTTTCTTCAATGTCATCGGCACCTTGGATCGCCACACCCCAGAGCTTTTCAAGTCCACGAACATAACCTTCAGGCAGACCACGCTTCTTAACATTGGTATCGTATGAGCATGTACGCGCATTTGAGATGCATGTCGAGCAAGCCGGTTTTTTCCCATCACATTTATCTTTCCTGCTACGACACTTGTCGCACGCCTGGGAGACACGCTTTCGGGGGCCTTGGCCCTTCTTCGATCGCTTTGCTGTCAATATTGCGTCCTCATCATCTCCCCCCACAGGTTCGGGATCCTTTGCGAGTCCCAGCTCATTTTCCGTTGTAGGACTTGCCATGCCCACCTGTGACCTGGTAGACTCTATGCGGCCAGAAGCTGCTGACACTGATATCCTCGACGATCGGATCGCCCTGCGGGCAGGGTCGCGAGGCCACACATATGGGTCAATGTCCAGAAGGATTGAGGTTATCGGCCGATTATGGCTACCGTGGAAACATTCAATAATAACTGCTCCAGCTTCGTCATAAAGCTCGTCAGCGGTAACGTCGTCCAAAAGAGGTCGTGTTCGTGTTTGAGACCAAAAATTCCAGGATTCAAGGCCCACAGATTCACAGAATGCTGGGAAAGTTTGCGGGAGAGGTTTTACCCGGTGCTTACTTAGCCTGCCGAGCCACTTCGTCCTCCAATTCAGAAACAACATCCAGATGTTGCAGATCTCGAATTCTCAACCATTTGATGATTTCGAGAATGGTGCATTCTAGCTGGTTGCGAAAACATTACAGTATCGGCGGCCTGACTTGTATCTCCACCTCATACGATCCTTGAGTGCATGTAGAAAAGAAAATCATGATCAAGGGAGTCAAGTCCACCAGCATCTATTCTAGGCGCCGTTGCCGCGAAGGAGACTGACCCCCTCGAATTTTACCGCCATCCTCACAACCCCGACCTGCGCCTCTCCAAAAACTCATGCTGAAGAGAATCTCGTATCGTGAAAACGATGGTCGCTGAAACACAACTTGAGCCACCTCTACTGGACTCCTCCTTGGGGCTGAGCTCTACCTCGAGACCGCAATCGCCGAGCACGCGACAGTTCTTACCGGAGGCTTCTATTGTGCTTATTGGCTCTCGAGGTGCTGGGAAACGGACTCTTGGGTTTATTGGTGCTACACATCTCGGTCGTCGTCTGATTACGGAGGACCATTATTTTCAAGCAACGACAGGAGTTTCGAGGGGCGGTTTCCTTCAACAGCATGGAACCCGTGCTTTCTACCGACGAAATATTGAAGTGTTGAAGCAGATGCTGGACCAGCACCGCTCGGGATGCATAATTGAGTGTGGCATGGGAAGCCTGTCAAGCCCAGCCCACAAAGCTCTTCGTGAGTACTCGAAGACCAACCCCGTTATCTACATTACCAGAGCACGCCATAGAATCCGATCGCTGCTGAGGCTCGGGGATGATGAGGCTCTTCGTCTAGAAGCAGCAGATTTATCCCATCGTGCTTGTTCAAATCTGGAATATTATAATCTTTACGACCCTTGCTGTGATGGCATAGACACTCCCCCGGAAAATGGGCTCGGAAATGTGTCTTCCAGGCTTAAATACGTCAAAGAGGACTTTTGCTATTTTCTCGACTTTTTAACCGGGCAAGGGCTCATTCGGAATAGCTTTGAGAGTCCCTTTTCGATAGCTGCTCTTCCCCCAGAATGTAGGTCACATACGTACGCATTATCTCTTCGATTATCGACGATCCCTGATTTGGACCTGGTGGAATTGGAAGCTGGGGCAGATGCAGTCCAATTGAAAATCGATATCTGGGACCCGGATCTCCAAACCGTGATAGCGAAACAGGTAGCAACTATCAGAAGAAAGCTCGGCGTCCCTATCATATTCCACGTGGAGGATTATGCATTGAATGACTTGTCATTATCGGTGGAGCAGAAGCAGACCGCTTACTTTGAGCTTCTCGAGTGTGGTTTACGATTTGGCGTCGAGTATATCGTGGTTGACCTGAGATATCCTTCTGACCTCATTGCGCATATTGTTGACTGCTCGGGGCCGACAAAAGTCATTGGGCATCATCTGGCCAAAGAAGAGAATTCCTGGGAGTGGAACGACGAATCCTACATGATACAGTACCGGAGGGCCAAATCTTTGCGTTGTGATATGGTGCGCTTCGTTCGGGCTACCTCAAAAGCCAGTGATAATGATGCAGTGGAATCTTTTGTGGCCAAAATCAAGTCCATTCCAGACCACCTACCAATCATTGCATATAACCTTGGGGAGAACGGCCGATTATCGTTGATTGCAAATCAAATCTTCACCCCAGTCACGCATCCCCTAATGCGATCGACTGTCAGCAAAGCTCAAATCCGGCAATTTCTTCCAACTGCAGCTGAAGCTCTTCAAGCGCTCTATCAGTCCAGTATTCTGGATCCCCTGCACTTCTATCACCTTGGCGCAATTGTATTTTATAGCCTGTCCCCAGTAATGCACGCCGCAGCATATCGTGTGTGTGGTATGAACAACGATTTCCAATCACTGGAAGTCTCTTCCCTCGAGGATATACGTCAGCTCTGTCAGGATCCGAACTTCGGAGGGGCAGCAATAACGCAGCCTTTCAAAGTACAAATTTTGAGCCACATAGCGGCAAAGAGTTATCACGCGAAGGCTATTGGGGCAGTCAACACATTATTGCCCCTCCGGATGCTCCCGAACAATAAATTTCCGGATGGCAGCATTCAGTCTCTTCTCGACCATGCTAACCAGAGAGGTAAAGCCGGTCCTGTTACGGGGTATTACGGCGACAACACGGATTTCATTGGGATTCTGACCTGTCTTCGACGAAATATCTCACCAAGGAATGTCGTTCAGCCTTCAAAAACGACAGGCCTTGTTATCGGTGCGGGAGGAATGGCGCGAGCGGCAGTTTATGCTATGATCCAACTTGGTTGCAGGAAGATCTTCATCTACAACCGAACCGTGGAGCATGCGGAGGTTGTAGCATCACACTTCAACTCTTGGGCGGCCGGCCTCAGCAAAGATGGAAAAGTGGTCCATGTACTGCGATCGATACTGGATGATTGGCCAGCGGGCTTCAGGCAGCCTACTATCATTACCTCTTGTGTGCCCGCGCGGAGTATCGGAGACGAGCCTGCTGCAAACTTTGAAATGCCAATTCAGTGGCTAGGGAGCCCCACTGGCGGTATCGTGGTCGAGGTAAGATACCCAATTCCCCAAAATACACTTTTCCTCTGACATTTTAACTACAGTTATCGTATCTACCCCTAGAAACCCCACTCATAAAGCAGATCCGCCTATTCCGCGAAGAGACTAAGCAGGCTTGGGTGATTGTTAATGGATTAGAAGTTCTACCGGAGCAAGCAATTGCTCAATTCGAGCTGATGACTGGCAGGAAAGCTCCCAAGAGACGTATGAGGCTTGAAGTCCAACAACACTACCGTCGCTATGAGTAACGGAAAGCTTCTCTCTGCCCCTTACGGGTTAAGATATAGTTTATATAGGCTAGTTTTATTAGGCAGACTAGGCTGTTGAAGCTCAAAATATTTCCATATCTAAATTCACATCTCGTGTGATCACTAGATTTAATAGGAGCAGCTTCGCAACCAAGTTCATCGGCGGATCTTCCATACGAGCCATTTACCTGCGGATTATGCATTTGAATCGTGCTTTCTAGAAACGGAATGCACGAAAGGTGATATCGATATGTGCTTAATATAATCAACGTGCGATTTAGTATTACTTGTACTATAGTGGTGTTAGCAAAGTTCGGTATGCTCTCAAATTAGTAGTTCCTGCCAAATTTAAGCATACTGTACTTTGTTTCTGTGTTGTTATTCAGTCAGGTGATAATACAAATACTCTAATTCCGATTGTAAGGTTCTTCATGAGGTGAATAGCGCATAAAGAAAACAATCCCCAGGCTGAAGTAGAGTGCTGTCGTTCTCTATTGTAATGCCGCCTTTGTTCTGAGAGTGGAGTTGCCTGTGACAATAATAATAAGCTCTAGTAAAGCATAGCTTCTTAGTCTACTTTATTTCTATTTTTAATCTCGAAACCATGGATCTCAACCGGCATCCCATCAGCGTTTTTCATGGCCGTTTTCACAGCCTCACAAACAACCAATGCCCTCAATGCTTCCACGCCTGTACAGCTGGGTTCCTTTCCATCCCTTACCACATCTACAAAATGCTGTAGCTGCAAGTCAAAGGGTACTTCCTCCTTCTCAACTGGAATCTCCTCCTTCTTCAATACCTCATTCCACCCCTTCTCTTTTCCCTGCCCTTCTTCTACATGATCGTAACTCCATCTCGCCAAATCCGGAACACTCAAACTTCCCTCCGCTCCGAAAATCCTATAAAAGCTCCCTCCACCTTCTACCTTGGGAATTGTGGGATTCTCACCCGTGCCCGCCTCAAAGTTCCAGGGACTAGGCGTAGTATCACAGAGTATGAATGTCCCTACGACTCCGCTTTCAAACCTCATCAATATTGCAGCACCCTCCTCTGCGTCATGTTCCCTTGTTTTCTGTGTCCCCAGTGCCGATACAAGAACTATCGGACCAAGCAGATATTGCAGTAGGTCAATTTCATGGATGAGGTTTATCAGGACAACACCTCCGCCTGAGGTCTGCGATTGCCGCCAGGAGTTGGTAGGGCCCTGGAAGTAAGAGGGTGGTTTGAGAAGTGTCCATGTTCCTTGGATGGCGAGGATCCTTCCCAGTGAGGAGATCGACGACTTCGCCCGTAGGAGGTAGGGATTGAACCTTCGATGATGGCCTACCAGTAGTTTTACGTCTCTCTCTTTGGCTACGGTGATGAGTTCACGGCCTGAGGGGATCGTGGTGGATATAGGCTTCTCGACGAGAATGTGAACTCCTGCGGCAATGAGTTCGAGGGCGAGTGGGACGTGGGTATGGTTTGGGGTGCAGATTATCGCTGCGTCTGGTTTATGCGGGGATAGAATGAGGGCGCTGGTTGAAGGGTAGTGGTGAGTATTGAGGGAAGCGGCCACGGAGGAGCCGTTGGGAGAGGGTTCGACGAGGGCAACGAGCTCGGTGGAAGGGTTGGAGATGACGGATTGCGCATGACGAGGGCCGATGAGACCTCCGCCTATGACTGCGACTTTAAGGGAAGAACATGAAGATGATGCCATATTATGATATTAATGCGTAGGTCCTGATTATCAAAATAAATCAAGTCTCACTTACTACCAATGACAGAGGAAAAAGTATCTCACATTGATATACTTCGTATACGTTATAGCACTACATCGAGTCCTTTAGGCGCAAGGATTGGATTGTTGGAGAGACCGACTCTGCAAGCACTTAGCTACACCAAAAACGAAGTACGAATCGAGGTATAGTTGTTGTTCGTCGTCCTCGGCATCAGCGGAGGGTCGGGACTAACGGGGTTGTGTTATCAATCTTTTGCCACCGGGTAAGAGTTTAGCAGATATCAACTCATGACGTTTACTAGTAACTAATCAGCAGAAGTAGAGAGTCCAGAGTAGGCAGTTATCATTGTTATTAGTTAGCGCTGCGATCAATACTGAAGTAGAGCCGATGATATCCTCTTGAATAGTCTCAATGATTCTTCCGCCCCGCTCCGCCTTTGTGGGTCATCATCTCCTTTTGCTAGGGAGTTATACCAAAGGGAGAGTAGCTATCGAAGAGGGAGAGATGGCAAGACGAATTGTTTATATCCGGGTAACAGAACATCCATAAACTTGCTGTGTTCGTTCCTGTTCCCCTAGTACTAGTACGCTCAAAATTACCTATTGCTCCTATACCTACACCTACGCCTTGGTGGTTGGCTTTCTCGACCACGCACTTGATCATATCATAGCATTGGAATAAATTATCAACCCTCTAGCAGACTTGCCCAAAAGTCTATTAATGCAGACAAAATAATTACCACTCGTTCACTAAGCCCGCGCTACAAAACTTTTACAAGCTGTCAAGATCAAGATCAAGATGCCAAAAATATCTTATAGACCGGCACTCGCAAGCCACTCACTAGGTGTAAGCCACTTCCTCCCACATTACCTCCTCTTCCTTATTTAACAAACATCTCCCAGCGCGCTTGCGTCCATGGCCTTCCGGAAAAGTTCACTGCGGCTGCTAATGCTGGCCTGCCCGGCATTGAAATCTTCTTTGAGGACCTTCTCTACCTGGCAGACACCTTCCCCGGCGGCTCGTCCCTCCCAAGAAACCAGATCCTTGCCGCGCGCCAGATCCGATCTCTCTCCGATTCCCTCTCCCTAACCATCATGGCCCTCGGCCCCTTCAGCGACTGCGAAGGTCTCCTATCTCCTACTGCTCGTGCTCGTGCTGCGAAGTTGCAAAAATTACGTACCTGGTTCGAGATCGCTCGGATATTGGGCACGGATATCATTCAGATTCCCAGCACATTCCAGACGGAGGGTATGACAGCAGATATGGATGTCATAGTCCAGGATTTAAGAGAGATAGCTGCGTTGGGGGCAAGAGAGACACCACCAATCCGGTTCGCGTACGAGAACTTGTGCTTTGCGACGTTCAATGATACATGGGACAAAGCGTGGTCGGTAGTGAAAAACGTTGATAGGGAGAATTTCGGGTTGTGTCTGGATACATTTAATATTGCCGGAAGCGGCTGGGCCGACCCTGCAGCCCGGGACGGGAAAAGAGAAAACGCGGATCGACTCTTCAAAGAGAGTTTGAGGAGGTTCGTTGCAGAGGTGGATGTGCGGAAGGTGTTTTATGTGCAGGCTGTTGATGCCGAGAGGCTGGAGAGTCCTCTGGATGAGACACACCCTTTCTTTGTGGAAGGGCAGAGGCCGAGAATGAGCTGGAGTAGGAACGCGAGACTGTTTGTGTGTGAGCAAGAGAGAGGAGGATATCTTCCTGTGGTAGATGTGCTGAAGGCCATATGTGATAGTGATAGGGGGTTGGGATATAGCGGGTGGATCTCAATGGAATACTTCAATAGGAGTTTGTTTGAGCAAGGGGCCCAGGTGCCAGAAGAACATGCAAGGAGAGCGGTGCAGTCCTGGCAAAGGTTGGTGAAAATTATGGGATGGGAGGAGATGGAGGAAGACCTTTCTAAAAAGCCAACGACTATGGTCAACAAGGTTGGGGGCAAGAAATTGGAAGCGGGAGCAAGATTATAACGGAATAATATGATAATATGTGTGGGAACCTGTGGGCACTTTATGAGCTTGGCTTTGGTTATTAGTAGCATGGGCAGGCGTTTAATATTCATACCATATCAGTCATGCATCCATGTATTAAAAACGTGAATGTGACCGAACGGATGCCACTGGAAAATGGAAAAGGGGAGTTAAAGTAATGTTTGGGAAGTTCTCTTGCCCCCGATCCACCATCCTAATGAAAGGCTGTAGCAGTGCAAGGATAAGGTGCCTTCTAGTCCCAACAAGCCCAGAGGGCTAACTCAATCTTCCAACGCTCCGTTAGTGACACAATTCTAGATGAAGAGTGCCCCTGCGACCTCTACAGATCGCATCGCTGGTTTTATACAAGACGGCATTGAAGCCTGTTGTTGAAACTTGAGAAAATTAGAATGAAGGGAGAGGAGATAGCAAGACAGCAATCTGTTCATTGTCTAAGAACGCCAGCGCCACCCAGAGAGAACCAATCTCCAATGCGTCCCAATCCCCAACGCCGCGCTAGTAGTACATAGGTAAGCAAGGTATTACAACAGCTTACATTTGGATATATTCCTTGGAAAGCCCCCCAACCTAATCGAACGTGTGTGTAAACAACGCAGAGATTGATTCTCCGTAGTGGTTTCTGCGGATCGCCTCAGCAAGTAAATTCGCCAGTGGTAGTACCACAAGCTTCGTTGCCGCGCGCGCCTTGTCGGGGACAATTGGAAATGAGTTCGTAACGACGATCGCATCGATGCACTCGCAGTTTTCAAGTTCCTCGAGAGAATCGGCCCCGAATAAACCATGAGTAGCAATGCAATAGACTTTCTTGGCTCCGCCACGCTTAACAACACATTCAGCTGCAGCGATCCAGCTCCCAGCTTTGTCGATCATGTCATCAACGATGAAAACGGTTCTATTCCTGACATCACCTACGAGTGTGATCATATGCTCAAAGGATGAATTGTTAAAACCTTCTTCCTCTTCATCGGAACTTTCGGCGGCATCTGCAGATGGGCCGTGAGGGCGTGACTCAGAATTAAAGAAGGAAGATGTTCGGGATATCACCATTGGATCCTCATCGGGATTCTCCATCGGCATTGAGGGGGACACTGCTGACTGTGGAGGTGAATGATAGTCATCTGGCACAATATGGCCTTGTACAAGTCGTCCATGTGTAATATCTCGGGCTCGCTCGTCTGTAAACTCTGGTTCTTCTTCAATAGGGGACGATCGAACTGGCATATGCTCTGCCCGAGTACTGGGTGATCTGTTAGGGACAGAAGACCCGCTTGTGGTTCGGAAAGATGGGTGCAGAATTGTATGTTTTCGTGGCGACGTCGGATTATCTTGGCGTGAGTCGTTTGCTAGAGATGGAGCGGTCTCATCTTCAAGATATTGCTCAACGTTTTCTTCGGTTTTCAAATCGCTGCTTTGGGGCTTTGGGTCAAGCTGGGTGGGCTGGTGTTCAGAGCCAGTTTGTGGTTTAGAAACCGCGGGATACTGCTCTGCTTCTGCAAACCCGTCTAATCGGCGCATTATCATGCTGGAACTCATATTACCACCCCTTCGTTTATCAGTTGTAACCATGCCGAAATTGAGCTTGAGTGCATCCGCCAGAGATGTCACCCGCTTGGTACCTCCAGGATTCTTTGATACACATACTGCTTCCTGCCAACCAGGAACGTTATGGCGAATCCATCTCGCGATTATAGGCTCGGCGTGCAAGTTATCGACTGGGCACTTGAAAAAGCCCTGCATCTGGGAGGCATGGAGGTCAATAGTGATAACATGGTTGACTCCCGCTATATGAAGCAGATTTGCAAGCATACGAGCTGTGATAGCTCCTCGGTGCGCTTTCTTCTTCGATTGGCGGCTGTATGGGAAGTATGGTAAAACAGCTGAGCAGGTCAGAAAAGCAACGGGCACTCGGGGATCATCGGGTATTGCTGCGAACCTGTAATTTTGTTTGCAGAGCCTCCTTTGCAAGCATTGATCAAGATTAGAAGCTCCATGATGCTATCATTAATCGTGCTGCTGCCGGATTGGACAACGAACACGTCCTTCTCTCGAACGCTGGTTTGGACCGTGACGCTCGTCTCGCCCTGGAGGAGCTGTCAGCCATGGTGGTGAGGGGAAGCTGAGAGCATCTTACATTTGCGAACTGCGAGAGCTGAACTGCGGCCGGAGCCATCCCAAGCTTCGAACATATTTGGCTCGTAAGTGTCGGGCATGAGCTCCCGGCAAATATGAGTGTGTTTCGCATTTCGACTGCTTTTGTGGGTGATGTTTGGATTGTGGGAGACGCTTGGACCTGGAAGAAATTTCGAAAAAGTAGAAAATCGTTTAAATCGACGTCAGGTCATAATCACGATAACACAAAGAACTCTCCTCCGTTTGTACTACAGCCACCGCAGATTCGTCTTTCTTGCCGGCAATTAAAATACCGATTCCTGGGCCTGACAGATGGGCATTCCGCACTTAACCAAGCATCTGCAACCCTATGCGGAATCGAAGTTGCTCCAGAATCAAGAGATAGTTATCGACGGGCCAGCCTTTTGTTACCATGTCTATTACGTATGCTTGATCTCAAGGAGAACAGCTAGAAGACCACTCGAGACTGCGATTTCGTACAAGGAGCTTGGACTTGTGGCCATTGCCTGGTTGGATGCGCTCTGTGCAAGCAGTGTCACGATGTAAGAATAAGGCGGATTTGCCCTACTCGAGTACTAGCTCTGCTAAGACTATCGTAGAAGGAAAATATATTTCGATGGCTTCCTACCCTCCTCAAAATATAACGTCCGAATAAGCAGGCTAGTTGGATATACACAGCAATTGTTTTCATATCATAGCATACATCCTACCATCCCCGGCCGGATACCTCGCACCCCCGACGAGAGCGGCCTCCATGACCTATTTCCTCGTCGGAATTTGTCGGATAACCTGATGAGTCTCCCTTCTGCGTCATTCCTAGTGCCGTCGATCCTGGAAGCTCTGGTAGCTTGCGATAGGTATAAAGATATCACGGAGGTTGTTCCTGGCGAAGCAGATTTATATTGCGCTCAGTCCTTGAAGGATCGTGCTGGTATCGTGCTGACAGGCGACTCTGATCTTCTTATACATGACTTAGGTCGGGGAGGCGCTGTCTCATTCTTCAGGGATATTGAACCCGTACCAAAGGATGCTAAGGGTAATTTGCGGAGCAGGGTGTACCACCCAGCAACCATTGCAGACCGATTACGCTTGCCAAAATCTGACGGTCTGCGCGCTCTAGCATTCGAGCTATATCAGGGCCCGAATAAAGGGTTTGGGGAGCTCCTCTCAGAAGCAAGAGTCTCGAAAGCTATCAGTAGCCAACCAGAGGAGTATGAAGCTTTCCGAAAAGAGTATGTCTGTTTGTTGGCTCAGCCCAAGCTCAGCACGGAGATCAATATGCTCCATGTCCTCAAGGTTCTAGATCCCCGCGTTTCTGAATATGTTCTTCAATTTCCTTTTATTGCTGAGGTTGCTGGTCAATCCCTAGAGTATAACACGTCTGATCCCACACCCCACATCTTCCTTCCGTTTCTGTTCGATTATCCTCTGCGGACTAATGCTTGGGAGATGTCAAGAGCTATTAGACAATTGGCCTATGGGTTGATTAATCTTATCTCCCCAGAAGATCAAAGAAAATCAACAGTCTTTGAGCACAATAGACAGCAGGGGAAATTAGGTGGACGGGAGTTGCAGTTGCCTGAAACTTCTCACATCCCAGAGGCTTGCTCGAATATTGTTGCTGTACTGGAACAAATGGGAGCGAGGCTACCCCCCTCACCAACCTCCGAAATGGATCTGTGGTTAGCTGTAGCAGTGTACCAAGATATTGAGTGGACCCACCAGAATTCCAAACCTGCTCTCGTTCAATTAATATCACAACAACTCCTGCTACTCGAGGACCAGTCTAATTCCGAGAAGAATCTCACCTGGGACATACTTCAATTTATGGCTCAAATCGAAGGCTCTTATCACTCCTTTAGGATCCTCAAGCAAACTACCAACCTTCTGACTTCATCGAGATTCGTTAATTCCCTTCCGCCTTCTGTCCTTCGACTGCACGAAAAGCTTCAGCTCCTGCCATCCTTGTCTAGCATTCAAGATATTAGCCAGACCATTGTCACCCTCCGGAGAATAAAAGCCACTGCCATGTCTGAAACCGCACACGAAATCCTTGGAATTGTGCTACCGGAAGTATCCGCCTCCCCCCAGGCAATACATAGGCAGGCAAAGAAGAGTAGAAAAAGAGATAGAGTTGAAGCGAGCATGCCAGTACCTCTGAAAAGACCAAATAACCCATTTGGATTACTCGAGCTCGAATGAAATTGTTCCATAAACGCCAATGCGTATCCCCTGACTATGAGATGGGCGCGGCACAACACGTGTGCTCCCCGGCTTCAAATTCTTGATGTGGTACATCCATCCACACCTTCTCCTTGAGCTCAGTTCGCAGCAAGGATCGAGTTGTCCGATCAAGCCCAAGGTAAAAAAACACAAAGAATCTTTTACTCTCCATTTCAACACTTCTCTTACTAGAGCCTCCGGCCGGTCGGGGGGAATTGTTCTAGTACTTACTCCGCGTTTACTCGTAATTCCATTTTCCAGCGTTGTTATCATCATATCCCTAATGGTAGTAGAGCCAATTAGCTAATAAAAATTTAATTATGAAGCAGAAAATCTCTGAAAGATCATTTGAGCAAAGTGTATGGAAGAAATCCGTCCTATCGGGCTTTCCAGTGAAATACATTGTGTCTCCATGCCGAGTTTTCCTCCCCCACGTATTCCTCAAATCAGTCATAACTCCATCCCGGAAACTCCTATAGTTTCATTGCATCGCCGGCTCGTCCAAACGTCTAGAATATCTAGCGTTTAAAAATTGTTGTTCACACCAAAAGCTATTTAGCGACTTTGGTTTGTCTCCCTACTATAGTTCCAGGGTTAGCACCACCCAGTATCAACACCACAAACTACGAGGAATTCTGTCATCAAGAAGGACCCAATGGGAATTGTTTGATTCAAGCCCGTTGAATTTACGTACTATTCTTTATCGTCCATCCTCGTACTGAAACCTGGCCCAATCGCCATCCAGACCACGCTATGAACAACCAATATCAACCATGTTACCAAACCGACAAAAAGTCCAACTCTCAGGTAGCTGACAAGTGGGTTTTGCCTCTCTAACCCCATGAACAATGCTCACCATCATCCTTAGAAACAATGAGCCCTACCCATCCAGTGGGACAACATCTCAACTCCAGAGGCTGAAATTGGGAGCCCGTTGCACGGACAGCAATACACACCCCTGTGGAAACCACGATTCACGATAGATGGCCAGTGTTAAAGAGCCTTCCCAACCTCTCTTTGCTTACGCTTAAGCCTTCAACTATTGTGCTCCTCAAAGCAATGGTGCTTTCCGCAGCTTAGTTCGACAGCAATTGCGCTTTGGATAGCCAACATTTGGAGTCTCCAGCCAGGGATGACTTCTATATCTATCCCTCTATTAGATGAAGAGCGTATGACTATTCGGAATCCTCTATATCTGGCAGGACCAAAGTTGGAGGCAGGCTTAGCAGGGACAAATTCGTGCCAATGTCAATTCTGGGGGCCTACATTGCAGTGAATTTGATATGCTTCCAGGACACAATCAACCATCTCCAGGCTTCATATGAATGTGGTCCATTCTTTTGTTAGCACATGGTCATTTTATTTCTGCAAAGCATAGAAGATGTCACATTCCTCATGCGTCCAGTGGCGTTATGAAAGAACTGCTGCTCTCTGCAATCGCAAGACTAGCAGAAAGTGTGCAGAGGTGAAAGCCGTTGAATATTGGCTATATTGGTTTAAGAATGCCCTTTATAGGTAGGCTCTTGAATGTCGGTCACAGGAGTCTCATTGATCACGAGTTGAGTTCGGCAATCACGAGCTATTATCGGCTGTTTGATCTCTCCTGCTCTCGTCTCTGACCGCCTGGCAGTGTTAAGAGTCTATTGCCTGATCACGACTGATCCGCTGTTCTGATTGGCTCAAAACTCGCTTCAGGAGAGTCTTATACTGAGTCGTTATCCCTGACCTCTCATTTTTCTTATTGGCAGATCAACCGTTTGCTTTCTGCCGTTTTCTAATCACGTCGGTGACAAGTTGGCATAAAGGAAGGGCTTCGATCGCCTTTTGGTTTATGTTCCAAAACAAAACAAAACACCATCACACGATCAAGACCTTCAAGAACCTCAAGAGCCCTTCAGCTTCCAGCTTGAATAGTATTTAATCACATCTCCAATCCTGAACCAACCTTTACATCACCGATCTTGATTCACACTCTACATCTTCGATCTTAATCCACACCTCTACTTCTCCAATCACCACACCTCGTCATATTCGATCTTGTACCACACGCGGCTACACCATTCCTCACTACCTCTCAACCCATCAGCTGTTCTCAGATGAATCTCGGAAATTACTTAAGAACCTAACGAACGTCCATTGGGCTCATTGGTACGCGACTATGATCCCCAATCACTTTCACCTAGCTAACAGACTTAATACAGGTCACTTCACGTCAACGCTCCCAACCGTTGTGGTGGACTTACAAGCTTCGAGTTTCGATGGAACTGGAATACGACAAGATGGATGTGTGGCACATCCCTAGGAGCAGCAGTCAGCCCTTTCTACATATCATCAACATCAACGCAACTAAACGCAGAGACGATAGCGCGGGTCCCTGGAAGAGTTCTCTTTACTTCGTATACCGAAGATTTCCTGCCGGTTTGCGCCCCGAAGAAGACTCCCGCCTTGGCTGTTTTATCCTGTCGTTGATGTTGGCCTTATCCTGGGTGGTCGGTTTCTGCTACTGCCAGTCTGCGAACATCTGGTTGAATATCGTGCGGAGTTGGGGAGGAGTTGATGTTGTTGAGATTCCCTGTAGGCCTCAGTCTCTGAGCCCCTACAGCAACTGAACACCCTACTCGTAGGAGGGGGCCTCCAATGGATCTCAGCAATATCAACTCCTCCCCAACTCCGCACGATCTTCAACCAGATCTGGGGGGGGGG